AGCTCATGAGTGCAAAGAACGTTTAGAGGTTTACACGAGAGACTTACCAACTTTCTAAACTCACAGAAATGGGGCCGAGGGCATTGGGCCAAGCTCTGCAGATCTGCAGGGAGAGCTGCGTTTGCAGGAAACACTATATAAATATGTGGAGATCACTTTGATTTCATAAGCTATGTGACACTCTCAGGTATAAACCAAGGCGGGAGGAAGGAAATCCATGATAATCATGGAAGTCACCTTAGGAATTCTCCAGTCCCAGTGTTTGGGACATTTCCTCATGAGTTCAGTGGTCTGTCCTAAGATGTTCAGATCCATACTGGATAGAACTGATAAGCTTTATCAGTGGGACATATAACACAACGTGAGGGGCTCGCTGTGGGGACAAAATGCAGTAGATAGACTCAGGGCCTGGATGACTTATAAAACAGGGGGGAGGCATTTGGACGAGACTGTGGTGAATGCTGAGTGGAGCGTGAACATTCCCAAGCATACATGCCATGTCTTCAATGTTTTATGTACTTTTGAAAAATCAGGCACTTGAGAATAACTATGAAGTTATATTCCGAGAACCCGACACTCGCTGGAAATTCAACGTTCAAGAGTTAGCAAGGTATCGCTTTGTTTTCCTAGTTCCTCATCCTGTATCCTGCCACTTTCAGGTATTTCAGACCGAACAAAAGCATCTTTTCAGGCTGGAAACGGACTGTAGTTTTCAGGCCAGAAATGGTAATTCTTCGAAACTGATAAGTTTGGAACTATTAATGTGAAGACTTTAGATTTGAGTCTGATGTCTCATATAATGCTAAATGCTAATCCTTGGCTTGAACTTGGTCCTTCAGAAGGACATACTTAACTTTGTGCATTAGTGAGCACTTAAAGCACTTCCTCTGCATGCGATGCACAGATCAGCAGTGCTTCTGCGGCAGACTAAAGCAAGAGCTTTGAATGTTAAGCAGAGCGTGGCTCGTTCAGGCTACAAGTGCTGCTTTGATTGACACAGCAACACATGTCCAAATAATACTAACTTGGTTTATAATGCATGGCTTCTGATAGCCACACCCTGTGTCACCTGATGCCAGTGACCCGGTAGAAGCAGAGTCTCTCCAAAGTGAGTCTGTGGTCACCCCCTTGATTGCCTGGTTGTTAAATATGACATGGGTCGTGAACTCTGTTCTGTAATTGAAATCTTGGCAATTGAACTTAAGATTGGTTTAGTAAGCATCATTTAATGGTATCGGAGACCAGCTGATCCAAACTGGTAATAGATGTATGCATGTCATCAACAGGCACATCACTAAATCCATGAGCAGTTATATCTTACGGTGTTTGGTCACTGTCAATATCACCAGAAACAACGCCTTTCTGAAACTAACCCCGGGCTTGTCTCGGGGTGTACAGGGAGGGCGGCCTGACAGCCACAGAGCTGGGGAGGCAGGCACCTCAACAACAGGACGCATGCTTTTCCCAGGTGTCCCGAGGCAGAGCAGCCGCCATGCAGTGCAGGATTTGCAGTGTAAGTTGCTTGTTGTGATGGCTTGCCTTAACTAAGCATTTGTGGGGTTTTTCTTCTATGTAGAAGAAACATCCATGGAGTCCCAAGAGAAAAAATACACCGAATGAAAGAACGGTATGAACACGATGTTACCTTTCACAGTGTCCTTCACGCAGAAAAGCCAAGCAGAGCCAACAGGAACCAGGACAGGAACAGCACACCTTCCAGCGGCCCCGGGTACTGGAGCACCTGCACAGAGCTCCCCAGCCGAAGAGCTCACGGCGGCTTCTCCAACGAGAGCTTCAGAAGGGGCGGCTGTCACCACGGGTATTAGCGGTCTGTGCACAGCCCCTGCAGAATTTTCCTAAAGAAGTTTCTACTTCCATTTTTGGAGTTTATTCTTTGTCCAGTTTTAGCCAGAGCTCTAATTCCAGTGTAAATAGCCAAGCCCAGAAGTTTCTGAACAGAGGTCATATATTCATTATCTCCAACAAGCAATGTCAGATGCTGGGGATTCTGTGGCGGGCTCAAGGGTCTTTCTCTAGGGAAGGAGTTTTGAAACTGAAATCCAAGATCATCAATTAGCTGCAGAGTCATAAACAAGGTGTTACTAGTACATTTCTATGGGCTACAGTACCACCGTCTTTGCCGGATCCATCTTCTCCATAGAGCTGGAGTGAGGGAGGGAGGCAGAGGCGGAGGCAGGAAGCAGCTTACTGCCATTGCTGCTCTGATAGTCTGTGTCCAGAGACCAGAGCCATCACTGTAATGGCTTTTACACTTAATGCACAGAAGGGAATGTTGTCCTTTAAAGTAACATTAGGGGACTTCCTCCCTTATTTTAATAATGTGTCACTGTTAAACATGCCTGTGAATTCTTAGGAACAAAGGCAACTAAGCAGAACCCGTACCATTACAGTCAGACCCTGCGCTCAGCAGCAGTGGCCGCAGGACAGACCCCTCCCTCCGGCTCTCCGTCTAATGTTAGTGTAAATAAACCTGCTTTCGCAAATCTGATCGTCAACTGATTTCTAAAATGATACCTATAGTGTGTGATTGGTTAGCAGCTCCAATGTTTAGGAGTGCAAAGCAATGAGGCAGCCAGGGTGTGGGTCACACAAGGAAATGCGAAAGTCACACTCACTGAGTGAGACGAGTGGGCTCTTTCATGTGGTGTTGAGACAGTGAGGTGTGGAATGCCCCTCCGATCAGTTATGAATTTATGAGTCCAAATTAAATCCCAGCAGGCTGGAATCAGATTCATTTGGTACGAGACCATGACAAGACCATGTGGGATGTGTGCTCTATTTATTTTTTGGCCAACAGCTTCTTTTTAACGTTTTGTGAAATATTATTTTAAGTGTCTTATATAATGGTGCTTTTATGGTTATTAAAATTGTATATGGTATTGCATTTATATTGGGTTTGCCATTTAATTTATTTTTGGCTTAACAACAAAACATTTACCAAAACCCAAGGACTTCAACCATAAAATAACCTTTGCATATAGCATAAGCTTATTCATGAATCATCGTTAATAACTAGGGTTATTCAGAAGGGACCGCTGTCACCACGGGTATTAGCGGTCTGTGCACAGCCCCTGCAGAATTTTCCTAAAGAAGTTTCTACTTCCATTTTTGGTGTTTATTCTTTGTCCAGTTTTAGCCAGAGTTCTAATTCCAGTGTAAATAGCCAAGCCCAGAAGTTTCTAGGTGGAATGAAGTCTGCACATTAAAAGGCTGACTTGCCGTTCCATTATCAACGCTGTTGAAAACCACTCAACATCTTCATGATAATAAGCAACACACTTCCTTAGCATTTTCAAAACTAGTGTCTTAGCTATAACAGGATGCCCAGCTGATGAACATGATAGTACCTGGTACAAATCTGCCATTCTAACTTTGCCAAATTCTAGTTTAGCATAGCACACAGCAGTCCTGTACCAATCCACTCGGTTTTCCTACCTGCCAGGCCCAGGTAACTGTGGGTGTCATAGCCTGTGTGCTATGCAGTCGCTATGCAGAGCGACTTTGGAATGGATGGCTTCATGCATTAGGTTGGCAGAGGGGACAAGTGTTGGAGAGCCCAAATGGAATCTCCTGCTTTTGGTTCCACAGGCGCACCCAAAGGGCCAGAGTCACATTCCCTGGTGTGGCTGGCTAGCTTCAGAGCAGGCAGGTTAGCTGTCTGAGCCGAGGCCGATGGCCACAGCAAAAGGCTTCAGGCTGTGGACCCAGAGTTTTCTCAGGGCTCTCAGTCTCCGCCCAGCTGTGTCTCTGCCCCCTCTGACAGGGCGACCCAGATACTTGGTGTGGAAGCATACACCAACTGACTAAGTCCCACCAAGCTTATCTCAGAACACAGCTGGGCAGACACCACCGAGCTGGCCCTGCAGAAGCACTCCGGTCTTTTCATTTCCTACGGCTTCTGACTTCTGGGCCCTCTGAACTGCTCACTGACTTGCATCATTTGTCAAGCTAGTGGAGTGCCCTGTAACCCAGAGGTTCTCCGTAAGACAAACAACACCGAGCCCTTGGCCGTTATCCCTGGTCACGCGGTGGACCCTGCTGGCTTTACTCGGTGTCACTCTAAGAAGGAAACATGCACACAGGCTGAAGCTTCATGCAGCGTGGATTTTTGTGGTCTACATGAAAGTGTCTGTCTAGGTGGCCTGAGAGAGGATAAAGAGGGTAATAGCATTTTTGATAGGATTCACAAGAAAAAAGGTTAACTTTCAGCCAGGCGGTGGTGGCACACACCTTTAGTCCCAGCACTCAGGAGGCAGAGGCAAGTGGATCTCTGAGTTCAAGGCCAGCCTGGGCTACAGAGCTTGTTCCAGGACAGCCAGGGCTACACAGTGTCTTAGTGTTTACTATTCCCGTGAGGAGACACCATGACCAACCCTGTCTCAAATGAACAAATGAACAAAAAGGTTAAATTTTATAAATAACATAATCCTGTTCACATAAGACTCGTTTACTCTGCTCTAGGTTGGGTCTACAGAACCATGATTAGGACAGGAAGACCAAATTATTTTATGAACAAAACTTAAATCACTAATAGAGTAGACAGAACACTTTAAGGCAGAAACTCGGTGAGAGCATCTGCCTGTAGACAGTGCTGTGGTCGGGAAGGCACTACACAGCAGGCCGCCTCGATCTTGCCGTGTAGTGAAGGATGACCTGGAACTCCTAATGGTCTCTCTACTCCGTGCTGGGATGACAGGTGCGCATCATTCGGCCTGACGGCATTTCCAGCTGGATAATTTAATTTGAGAGATTATAGTAAGGAGTGACTTTGAAGGTTCCTATAGCCAACAAGGATGAAAAATCTGCCAGAAGTAAACACTCCCGTCATGTCTGCTTATCCCGACAGAATGGACTCAAGCAGAACTAACCGCATTTCATAGGAGTTACCCACAAAAAAAAAAACCTTAAAAACAGAAACCAACTACAACAAATTAACTAGTAAAGTGATGGTACTTAGAGACCTTAGTCAGTGAAACAAGTGAAAAGCAAAGGTGTGTTTATTTTGCATGTAAAATAATGCTTGTAGTGTTCAAATCTAATCATAAAGATTTAAAACCTTTTGAATTAGTTAACATCTGGCCAGCGTTAGACAACTGAATAGTTACACAGGTAGAGAAGCAGGCAGAACATTTGTAAACAAACACTTCTGGAATGTGCTGCTGTTATTTGTGTCTTGCCACACAAACGTGTAGTTTGGAACTGTTCACACTTTACAGACTGGGAGGCTAAGACTCAACAGCTAGTTTTCCATCACGCTCATGGCAGCCTCTGCAATCCCCGAGACAGACTCCTTCCTGGACCTGGGTCCTGCATGCTAGCCTGGCCTCTGTGCTGGCTGGGGGCTCTCTTGTCCTTGGGGCACAGAGGTCCTTGCAGAGTCTCCAGGAAATACCTGTTGACTTCCTTCTGGTGAGCCAGGTACAAGGGCTTGGGTATTGAGCAAGGCAAGCTCTTCATCAGCCACCGAATCATGTTCCAGAAGAGAAGCGCCACTGGCCTTCTGAGACGGCGCCTTCCTCTGAGGGAGACGGGGCTCTCTTTCCTCCCTAGGTGTTGCACATTTGGTACCACGACTCCGTGGTGGCTGAAAAGCCTTCTGTGCAGCTGGAGAGACAAAGGTACAGATGGGACTGACCGGGGGAGGTAAGGGCAGCCGACTCAGGAAATCCAAGGCTCTTCTCTTCCTGCAGGTTTTTGGGTCCTCACTCTCTCTGTCCCCGTCACAAGACTTTGATGCCATCTGGGCCAAGTGAGTCAGGGGTGCAGACTTCTCTTTTGGTGTGCAATGTGATAAAGGACTTGGATAGCTTTGCTCACTGTTAGGTGAAAACCGCTACAAAACATAAAAAAGGAGCCTATCATTGTATGTACTTGTATGTAAACAAAACAAAACTTAACTTTTCATTAAAAAACACAAACAGAGGACACATTCTTTCTTATCCAATTGCTGAAGGATAGATGATATCAAAAACATTCACGCTGTTGTTCCCATCCCACAGGAAATAATTTCACACAAGAGCATCTAAAAATGACTAGAAAAGGAAAAAGAAGAGATCCTAATACAAGATTTAAAAAAAAAAAACAACAAAAAAGCATGGCATCGTTTATGCTTTAACTTTCCGAAAGCCTTACAAAGCTGTAAGCGTCAGGCTACCAGAATCACCGAGAACACACCCTGCCCAATTACTCCTACTTGCTCTTCTTCTGAACATTGGTTTATTCTGCGTGTGTACATGTTGTGCACGTGTGTGGGTGTGCACGCGAGCATTCACATGCTCCAGCACACCTGTGGAGGTCAGGGGACCACCTGTGGGAGTCGGTGCTCCACTCCACAGGTGGGTCACAGAGCGCAATCATCAGGCGGAGCCACAAGCACCTTTACCTGCAGGGCACAGCGGCCTGCCTGGAGTTTTAGCCCCTTTCTCTCTCTCTGTCTCTGTTTCTCTCTCTGTCTCTCCGTCTCTCTCTCTCCCTCTCCCTCCGTCTCTCTCTCTCCCCTCTAGTCCCCAGTCACTGACAAGCGTTTAGCGTCTTCCTTGGCCAGTCTGACTAACAGCTCTCGTGTGCGCAGTGAGGACTGCTTACTGAGGGAGGGTGCTGGGCCGTGCCACCTGCCCAGCCAGCCCTGGCAACCAGACACCTACATGATTTAATGAGCCATCTGAGCTTGAACCACTGCAGCAGCCTCAAATGGTGTTCGGGCAGCTCTTCTAGCAACAGGAACAGGCAAAAGGCTTTTCAACCACCCGAACGTGGACTACCAACAATGTAGTTTGCCCCCAGAGTTTTACATTCACACTTCAACAAATAAGTTAGTTTCCACATACAGCAGCTACAGCAAGCTAGCCACAGTTAAATGCAGTTTAGTTACACCCCGTGCTCACCAGGACACCTGTTACTTCCCAGCATGACTTCTCAGACTACAACTTACCGCCAACCGGCCTCCTGTAGCAAGGAGCTCCGGAGGAGGGCAGGTGGAGGCCGCCTGAGCGGAGGCTTTAGTCGGGGTGGACCACTGGGGACTGTCTCCATGAAGCAGATGGGAAAGCTTCTTTTCTGCCTCCTTGTAAAATGTGTCGATATTCTAAGAGAATAATTGGAAAAGCTGTGTCCTGAGTTGCTAATTCACACATGGATGTTCTCGGAAAGTATTTTCTTTCAGAAATAAAACATTCAGAACAAAAGAATGAGTCACATTTTTGTTTGTTTGTTGTTTAGCTAGGGTCTGGTGCTCACTCTGTAGAGGAGGCTGGTACTCACGTTCTGGAATCGCAGGCGTGGGGAGACACTGAAAATTCCATAGCAACTGTCAAGCACTCACATCAGTGAGGGCTGAGGGGGGGAGGGAGGGAGTGAGCACCTGTGCTCATGTGTGGAAACCCTGGGCTGAAGGTGCTCTCCAGACACCTGTGTTCCTGCTTCCTACTCTCTAATCTCACCTCGATAGCCTGCTTCATTCTGTTGAGTCTGTCCTGAAAGTAGGCCTCCTTTGGACTGGCCGAGAGTATGGAAAAGCCCCCGGCAAACAGAGCCGGCATTCCTGATCTGGACTCTGGACGCCACTGGAGGTTGCTTGCAGCGATCAGCACACGTGGCTGTATGTCTTCACTCGGGTCTGTCCCAAACTTGACCACTACTAGATTAAGGCATTCATCTGACAGGTAGACCACAGGAGCAAGACCTAGAACAACAAGAGAGTCAACGTTCTCTTTACAGTTGCTAGGACAATGATCTACTTGTTTGTCCTCGTAGATAAAAATCCCTGCGTTTACAGAAAACAGCATTTCCAGAATGACCCATTGCTGAAGGTGTTAGAAGTTCAGTGGCCAACATTCCGAGGCCACGGGGCAGCAGATACACCGATACACTGCTGCTGAGAGTGGATCTGATGCATCCTTCTGGGGAAAAACGTGGCACTGCCTAGCAAGACGCCTGTGTGCATCTTACTTCCCACCAGCACTCTTATTTCTACAGTCCACTCTGAAGACAGATGCCGCCCAATAACAGTAAAATACACGGGCACCAGGGTCATGCTGACAGCTGCACCCAGTCACTCAGGTGGGACTGTCTGCAATTATAAAACGCTGGAAGCAAGCCCTATCAGCTCCCACACCGGAGTAGCTGGGTTGCACCCACACAACGGTTTTCCAGGCAGCTGTGAAAAGAATGAAGAAAATCCCAAGACAGTGCTAACTGGGAAAAGCACACCAGAAAGACTCCAGTGTCACCTGCAGAACAGGAAGGAGACAGAGAAAACACACACTTCCTTTTTTTTTTTTTTTTTTTGAGCCAAGAAATGAGGAAGGCTGAACAAGAAACCAAACAGGTGAGGCCTGGAGGGGCAAAGGAGGACCAGACTCAGGGTAGCTGCCCAGGAGGGAAACATGCTTCTCCCGAGTGCAGCTTTCTGTGTGGCTCTGACTCTTAGCTTTACGATCGCTTCCCACTTGGAACTAGAGTTAATACAGGACTGCGGCAGGGAACACAGATGAACCGGCAGCAACGTGTGCTGCCAAAAAGCAAAGATGTGCTCAGAAAGTGGAGGTGGCTTGTGGAGAGCTATGGTTGGCTTGGGATGCACTAGACCAGTCTCCCCTCCCCTGGACCTGGGCAGGGACAGGGATGCACTAGGCCAGTCTCTCCCCTACTTTCTTGGGTACTTCTTTCCTGCCTTTTTGAATCTATGCAGATGTCTACCTGTCCATCAGCTCCTGCACTTGTGGTCCTAAGTCCTTTCGCCTGTCCCTTGCTGGCTAAGGCTTGTCTCATCACAGAGTCTGGACAGCAGGTGTCACGTGCTGACTGCCCAGTGTCAATCTTTACTTTCTTAGCTTCTTCAGCACAGTGTGCTTTCATCTGAAAACTAGTCTCCTGATGATTCTAACAACTGCTTTTCTTTTCCTTCTCTTTGAATAAGACACACATAAAGGAACCACACCCACCATCTCTATTCCTCTGCTTCCTTTTCTACTCAGTCAGCCAGTCCCTCTCTTCAAGGAAAGGGCTCTTCCACGATGCCAAACCCAACTACCAAGTCTTGCTCCTCACCTCACACCAGTGCTTCACACAGGCTTCACCACACACAGAGCACTGCTTCTTTTCTATCTGCCCCATCCCTGAATATCCAAGTGTCAAACTGAGTCCTCTGTCTCTTCTTAGTCCCCTCAGAGCGACCTCATTCAGTCTCCTGGCTTTGCATCTCACTGGTGTACCAATGGTCGTGATCTCATTCAGTCTCCTGGCTTTGCATCTCACTGGTGTACCAATGGTCGTGATCTCATTCAGTCTCCTGGCTTTGCATCTCTCTGGTGTACCGATGGTCGTGACCTCATTCAGTCTCCTGGCTTTGCATCTCACCAGTACTGATGGCACTAAAATTGTATCTTCAGCTCTGACCACTGCCCCAAGCAGATGTCTGTAAACACAGCTGTCCATCTACCACATCTCCTCAGAAGTCTCATGTGGCTGTGACTCCACTTGCAAACCATGTTCCCCATGGGTTGTTTTCAAGTTCTTGCTCTTCAGCCAGTGGCAATTCCAGTCTTCCATAGCCTGGACACCGCACTTTCCTTCGCCTTCAGAGTGTAACCAGGGTCTAGTGCTCGCCACGCCCATGGTTTTTGTCTGGTTCCTCAACCTCCCCTGCCTAGATTCTCACCATGGCTTCCTCCTGGAGTCGTTTGTACTCATGCCCTCTATATCCAATTTCCAATGTAATCGTTCAGGTAACATGAGAAAAGGTCAAAGCCTGTCCTTCCTCTACTTGAAACCTTCCCATGACCTCCCATCAGCCTTTAAGTAAAAGTTAAAATACATACAAGGGAGCCAGCAACACGGCTCAACAGGTAACGGCGACTGCTGTGCAAGCCTGACGTCTGAGTCCAGCATCAAGGAGGACAGAAAGAACCATCTCCATAAAGTTGTCTCGTCCTCTGACCTCTGCACGTGTGTGTGTGTGTGTGTGTGTGTGTGTGTGTGTGTGTGTGTGTGTCCCCGACACACCCTGGCTCTTCCCTGCCTCTCCTTCCTCCACCAAAGTTTACAGGCCCGGCCTTCCTGGGCAGCTGTCCCGGGTCACGTGCTTCCCTCTCAGCTTCTTCGGGTCCAACACAAGTGTCAATGAGGTCTCTTCTGAAGGCTCTTCTTCTGCCCTCACCCCTTCCTTCCCTCGGGGACTCACATCGTTTTCTTTGTCCAGAGTCGCCCCCGCCCACCAGAGCACTCCTGGGAAGGGGTCCTTAGCGGCTGCGCACCTGGCATGCAACGATCACTCAAGAAATACTGACGGAATGCAAACAAGCCGTCCACCCTCTATCACAGTGAAAGTGTGCAGACACAGCGTGACCCGATGACAGGGACGGACACAGCAATGTGGCCTAACAGTCAGAGAAAAGCCCACATCAATAAGCACAGCAGGGAAGGAGGGAGGAAAAGGGGAAGGGAGGCTCAGCAAGCAGAGACACACAGAACATAGCCATAAGGAACCCCCCACCCCCCAAAACAAGGAACTTCCTACAGTTGTCACAAGTGACTCTGCTCTGGAGCTTCAGGCCACAGTCACTACAAAGCCTCTGGACTGGAGATAACAAGCAGATCCGTAAGATGGAAAGGGGCCGGCAGGACAAAGAAGCGGACAGCACAGTGGGCCAGATCCACGCCCGAGAAACGACCAAGATGCACACAGTGTGCGCAGAAAGAAGGTGAAGGACACAGAGGCCGCTGCAGTCATAATGGATTGACAGGAAATACAATGAAAAGAGCCAAATGAAAGCACAAATATGCCCTGTCACACAAGACAACTGGCACTCCTGAGGCGGGCGGGCGGGGCTCCTAAGGAGGAGACAGGCAGGCGCAGAGACATGAGCACTGAGTGTGCCGCGGAAGGAGAACTCTCAGAAGCTGTGTCGGGGCTGAGAAAGGCTTAGCTGAGGGCGCTTTCTCTTCCGGGGCCTTCAAAACAAAACACCAATACAACAGAAAGGCTAGTGAGCTGCCAGAGAAGGGCGGGATGGGAAACTGAGGAAAGAGCCTGTCCCTCACCATGCACTCCTTTGTTGTTGTTGTTTGTGGGTTTTTTGTTTCTCGAGACAGGGTTTCTCTGTGTAGCTTTGGAGCCTGTCCTGGAATTAGCTCTGTAGCCCAGGCTGGCCTCAGCCTCCCGAGGGCTGGGACTAAAGGCGTGCGGCATGCACTGCTTTAAGAGTGGGAAACAGTGCCCTGTTCCTACAGCATCCCGTCCCAGAGGGGACGGGTGTGGGGGACGCTGTTAGGTGCTGAGCAGTCCAGGAGGAACGGAAGTCGGACAGAGAGCGCTGGTTTGGGAGAGACTGGGCCACTGCTCCTGTTAGGAGGGTCTCTCACAGGCTACACTTGACCAGCCACACGAAGGCACCAGAAGCCACCGTGGCTGTCCGGGGAACAGTGAGTGCAGCCTCAGAGACTGCAACCAGGCCATGTCACATGGCTGGAGTGCAGCGGGAGAGCTAGGAGCTGAGGGTCTGGATACAACAACCGACGAAGAAGTGGAAGGCTGTGCAGCCCCCACAGAGATGGCGGCTGGACTCTGACATGTGCGCAGCACTTCTGTGGGAAAGGAGACAGCCTCGTAGATAAACACACAATAAAACAGGGAGGGACCGAGTTCACGGTAAAACACCTGCCTAGCACTGTGAGTCTTCAGTCTGATCCCCAGAGTTACAAAACAACAAACAAGTAAGAGAAAAGAATCCAGCCAAGATGTTGGAGAATACTAAAAGCTGAACAGATTGGAGGTTTAAGTGTTCCACTAATATAATTATTTGATCATAGTTACTAAAAACAAAAACAAAACAAAACAACAAAAACTCTACAAAGTTCAACAGCACAGAACAGAATATAATCCTTCTCCTTAAATACTATCAAATTGCTTTTTATTAAGAAAAGAGGCCGGGCGGTGGTGGCGCACACCTTTAATCCCAGCACTCGGGAGGCAGAGGCAGGCAGATCTCTGTGAGTTCGAGGCCAGCCTGGTCTACAGAGCGAGATCCAGGACAGGCTCCAAAGCTACACAGAGAAACCCTGTCTCGGAAAACAAAACAAAACAAAACAAACAAACAAAAAAAAGAAACGAAAACAAAAGACAAAACAAAACAAAAAACCCAGAAAAGCAAAGAGGCTAACGGCCAACAGGATGGCCCTGAGGGTAAAGGAACTCTGCCATCAAGCCTGCTGACCTGAGTTTGATCTCTGGGCCCCCTGGAGGAAGAGAGCAGACTCCTATAGGTTGTTCCCTGACCCCCACATTCTGCTGGCACACCCACACATACACAGAAACACACATACGCGACCACGAAGGTCACTTTCACAGCCCTACACAGCGTATCAGCGTAGCCCCACTAGTTATTAAAGCTTGACAGGCAATGGTCTTCGAGAGAATCAACAAAAGACTACGCTAAACACACTGCACATTACCTGTTGTTTTTACAACAGAGACCACAACTCCTACAAGGTCCACTTCAGAACAAGGAGGCCGAAAGGGCGGCTCTAACAATCTGCTGAAGCGAAGGGGCTCCCTGGGCTGGTACACCTGGGCTAGGGTTTCACTGGCAGCCTGCGGGAAACAGAACAGTCAGCGTGCGGAGGCTCTGGGAAGCGCTATGCATGTCTCAAGACAGAAGTGTGTAAGGAGAGGTGCAGACCGGCAGGTGCTGATACTGAGTTCTTCTCGTAGCTGTTAACTGGACGCCAACTCGTTCCAGTTTACTTCTAGATTTCGATACTGCAAGATGGTAGATCCTGTATCTCTTTCCTTCTGTTAACAGGGACTGTAGGTCTGAAGACGGACGCCAGATACTCAACAGAGCTGTTCAGAGAGAGGACATGACAGGCACACTGGTGAAGCCAAGGTTTCTCCTGCTCCGTCGGTGCTCACAGCCCATTAACTCACTTGATATACATGAATTGATATTTCACTTGTCATTTGTAAGCTTTTTTGTTTGTTTGTTTTTCAAGACAGGGTTTCTCTGTGTAGCTTTGGAGGCTGTCCTGGATCTCGCTCTGTAGTCCAGGCTGGCCTCGAACTCACAGAGATCCACCTGCCTTTGCCTCCCAAGGTGTGTGCCACCACGCAGCATAAGCTCACTTTTTAACTTAACAAAATTGATCAAACAAAACAAAACCCGAACTTTGCATACTCACATGATGTTTCCTCTCCCTTGTAGCTTGTCACACGCAGCTTCCACACAGGTGCAACATCCCTTGCCAGGCCCTCCTCCTGCTCAGCGGCCTCCAAGGCCTTCCGGAACTCGGACTGGATCTGGGCTTGTTTCTTATCGTTCAACCTTTGTCTGTGGTTGTTCAAGGCTCTCAGCTGCTCTTCACTGAAACAACCCTGTGACCACTGAAAACATCAGAGGGCAGCCACAACGGCAATCCCGCCTACCCCAACTGGGCTGCCTTATGTGAGAAGAAATGCACCAGACTGGACCCAGCTGAGGGTGTGTGCCGATCATTCATTTGATCACACCAGGCTCTTCGGGACCTCACACTGCCTGTGCCCTTGTGACAGACCCCGAACACTTAGTGTTCTTTAACCACAACCGCACGCCTACACTTCAAATGGCTGACATGAACGGACACTGACAGAACCACGGATGTTTCCTGGCAAATGCCCTAATTCACTTGATCTTCCCAAGCATGCCATGACTTGTGTGCTATTGTCGTTTCCACACATGAGCTGATGAAAGTGAGGCACAGGGGGTCAGTAACTGCACAGGTGACACGGGAGGGGCTGCCTCAATGGCTTTTATCCTTATCTCCCGTGGAAGAAATTTAATTTAATAATTTAACTTAATAATTCATCTTTGGAAGAGCAGATACAATTTTTGAAGTTTTTTGTATGTTCATGTATCTATGTGTGCATGTAGAGCTGTAGTTACAGGTGGTTGTGAAACGCCAACCACGGTGCTGGGAACGCAATTCGGGTCCTCTACAAGGCTCTGAGCATTCTTAACCACTAAGCCATCTCTCCAGACAGAATTTTGCTGTGTCTCCCAGGCACATATCTTGCCATCCTGCTTCTCGGTCCCCAGAGTTCTTGGAACACAAAATGTGGCACACAGCTGGCTAAAAATACACACACACACACACACACACACACACACACACACACACACACACACATTCATATTTATTTTGGGTGTGTAGAGGTCAGAAGAAAACTGGAAGGAGTTGATTCTCTCCTTCCAACACATGGGTCCCAGGGACTGAACCCAGGCTGTCGGGGTTGGCGGCAAGAGCCTTTGCCCCCTGAGCCATCTCTCTGGTCTTTTGCCTGGCATTTTAAACCATGTTATTTTAATACATGAAACTCATTAACTTTTTATTCTCTATTTGATACAGAATCAGAAACTTGCCACAGGAGTCATCTTGGAAGATGTAGCAGCATTTCCACAGGGGCTTGCTATAACGGCCAGCGTGAGTACAGCTTCCCACAGCGCTGGGGACTGAAGCTTGTCCCCGGCTCCTCCTCACCTCAAGGTGCTCCGGGTCTGACGCACTCTGCACTGCTGCATAGAGCTCCGCACCATCCTGCAGAGCATGGACCTGCTGCCTGGTGAGTGCACGGGGCGGCACGCACCGCTGTGCTGTGTCTTCTGGGAGGAAGGAAGCAGCTTTGATTGGCTAAACCCAGACCTTAGGAGCGAAACTACAAAGTCAAGCAAAAATACCCAGAGGAGAGAGAACAGGCAATCAAAGGCCACCAAGAGCAGTGGGATGGCCCAGCTGGTGATGGTCCCAGTTACCAAGCCTACCAACCTGGTCCGATCCCCAGAGCCCACGAGGCAGGAGGGAGCTGACCGTAAGTTGTGCTGTGACATGCACACACAATCAATGAATGAATGGAATACAAAAATATTTTAAAAACCACCTATCTACTAAAAGTTTCCTTGTTTAAAAAAAAAGAGAGAGAGAAAAGAAACTGGCACATTCTGGGTTACAACGTCATACACAGGTTTATGGAAATAGATTAATTTGTAACTTGTAATTTAAATAACTTATTTCTCATATTGATTTACTTACTCAGGAAAACTATAATCTGGTGATAATTTTAAATAAATAAGATAGTGGAAATCCAATCTTTGTTTTAAAAATTTGCTTGAGTATGTGATGTGTGTTTCTATGAAGGGATGACACTTGTGTGGAGTGCCACGAAGGCCACAAGAATCCTGGGATCCCTGGAGATGAACTATCTCTGGTTGTGGGTGCTGGGAACTGAGCTCAGGTCTTCTGCAAGAACAGGAAGGGCTCTTAGTTACCGAGTCATCTCTCCAGCTCCCTAATCTTTCTACAGATACACATATATTACACCTACAAAAGAATTCTGAGGAAATACACGAAAACAAAATCTTAAGCAACACAAAAGTGATTGGAAAAGGGAACTTTAAGTCATTTATATGTAAAGATCGATGTGTGGGAACGAGCCCTACCTAATTCCTGGAGTTTTGTTCCTCAGACACTCCCAACTTCAATGACACATGCTGGTGCACAGCGGGACAGACTCTGGGGAAGAAGTGTAGCAGGGACCCAGAGGACACTAGTCTGGCTGGCTCCTCTGGGCCACCCTTGTCCTCACACCAGAATTCCCTAGATACTGAAACCCAGCTTATGAATTCATGCCTGGGGGGCAGGCCTGCACCCCAGCTACTCCGGAGGCCGAGGCAGGAGGATCAGAAGTTGAAGGACTGCCTGAGCTAGAGTACAAGGCCAGGTTCAACAACTTTGTAAGATCCTGCCTCTAAATGAAAGCGCATGCACGAGCAACAGAGACAGACAGAGACAGAGAGAGAGAGACAGAGACAGAGACAGACAGAGAGGGAGAGAGAGAGAGAGAGAGAGAGAGAGAGAGAGAGAGAGAGAGAGAGAGAGAGAGAGAAAACTTATTTAGGGACCCTGAAAAACGCTGTCCCCTTTCACTGTCTCCGACAATTACCTAACAGCTCAGTTCTCAAAGAAGCAGTGACAGCCAGGGTCAGTTCAATTTTCATTTCTGCATGTGTGTGATATTTTGTAGGTTAAAAAATCAGATGCAGAATTAAAAAAGCATCAATTACTAATAAGAATTCACGCAGTTATAAGCCGTTGTGAGAAACAACAATTTGTAACCTGAAGCCCACTTTACCTTCACGGTCTTTAAACTCTGCCTGGATTTTGGTGAACAAGGCCTCCAGTTTCTTCTGCTGGGCCCCTGCAAACCTCACTGCCTCCTTCTCCTCTTCCCTCTCGTTACGAAATATGTACAACCCAGACGCCGTCTTCTCCACCCACTGACAATGTATTGAGAACAGGAAGGAACATTCAGATTCTCGCCAAAGAAAGAAACCACACAGTAAGCTTCAAAACGCGCCCTACCTGTAGAGGGTACACTCTCTGAATGACGACATCCACACAGCCAACGCTTCCTCCGTCACAGAACAGTGAGGACAAGGGCAGAGGGAAAGGCCTGGGGTCGCGAAAGAACCCCAGCTTGCTGTGCCAGCGAGCGGGCCGTGTGCTGTTGGCGGAAATCTGCACGAGTTCAAGAGCAGCAGTTAAAGACATACTGATTCTACTCTACAACTCTGGATCTTTTGGGATGGTTTGAGAATATTCACTTGAGCTGGCAGTGGTGGCGCACGCCTTTAATCCCAGCACTCAGGAGGCAGAGGCAGGTGGATCTCTGTGAGTTCAAGGCCAGCCTGGTCTACAAAGTGAGTTCTAGGACGGCCAGGGCTACACAGAGAAACCCTGTCTTGAAAAACAAAAAAAATTCATTTGTGTGTGTGTAAGGGGTGGTGATAAAAAGGTGGTTCAGCAGTTAAGAGCATCTGCTGCTTCTGCAGAGGGCCTGGTTCAGTTCCCGGAACCCACATGATGGCTCACAGCTCCGGTTCCAGGGGATCCAGTTTCCTCTTCTGGCCTCTGAGGGAACTGCATGCATATGGTGCACAGGCAGGCAAAACACTCATACTCAGAAAATAAACTTTTTAAAAAATTCACTTTTAAATATCTCATAATGATGACTGGTTAAGAAAAAAGTGAGTAAGTAGAAAAACTATACAAAAGGGAAAATACTTCAACATATACTTCTCAAGAATGTTTCTACTGTAGCTTGGGTGTACCACAGAGCACTTGCCTAACATGTGCAGGATCTGATCCCCTAGCAACACACACACACACACACACATACACACACACACACGTGTGCACACACTCACTTCTGCCACAAAACATAAATGTTTAGGTTAGCGGGTGGGAGAGGGCCCCGTTGGAAAGGCGCTTGCCCTGGCCGCATGAGGATCTGAGTTTTAGCTCCAGAACCACTGACAAGGCTGGGAGTGGAGGCAGGCACTTGGAATCCCAGTGCCAGGAGAGGAGACAGGAGCACAGGTACCTAACTCGATTCTGAAACAAGACTGACTCCTATTCAGTAACTGTAACTGCATTTAGCTCAAGAAATAGCTCTGCCTCCCCTAGCCAGTGAAAACTCTTAGAAAAATTTGCTTCCTATATTACCAGTACTTTGTCAAGAGATGCTATCCTTTATGTCAAAAGTAAACAGATTTCAGTTAATTGCCTCTCCAGACTATACCGGACTCACAGGCTGGTTCTTGCCCAGATGTGCAGTTTAATTTACCTTTAGCCTAAGAGAGTCCGGGGCTTCCAGAGGTGCACAGGCATCAGGAGAGCCCACCAGCTCTGCCCCGTAGGTAATGATCTTCTGACCCACGGTCAGTCTCCCGCTCTTCACAAGAGCCACAAGTGGAGGGTCTAGCTGGGCCTTGATGGCATACCATCCATCTGTGAGTTCAATCGTGTCTAGGCTCTTGGGATCGGCACCACTGGTTTTACTGCCGGAGGTCACAGATGCACTTGTGCTTGGTGACATGATGTCAGAAACACAGAGAACGAGTGTTTTTGTGGCCGTGTCATCCCTCTCCAGGATCTTCTTTAGAGCCGATCTGCTGCTGTTGTCAATTTCCACATCATACCTGAAGATGAAACGGAAATGCTGGTTTTAGGAAGTGTGCCCCTGGGGTCTCACTGTACACAAAGCTACTGAATACTTGAGAAGTGGTTAGCTCACCGGGCTGGAGACACAACATGGCAGTTAAGAGCTTGTGGCACTGCCACGAGGACCAGAGTTCAGGTCCTAGCACCCACACAACAAGCTGGTGTAGAGCACGTGCCTGGAACCCCAGCTCTGAGGTAGCTGGAGACAGGGGGATCGTCGGGGATTGCTGGCTTCCAGACTAGCCAAGGTTCAGGGAGACCCCACCTCAAAGGACCAGGCAGAGCATGCGAGTGGAGGGCACCAGATGCCTTCTTCTGCCTCAGGCATACATACAGGAAGACGCATCTACACATGCATATGAGTGCATGGGTATACCCAGGTGCACTCACAAATAAATGAATAAATATTTTTAAAAATGAGTTCATCAAGCCAGGCATGGTGGTGTACATCTTTAGTCCCAGCACTCAGGAGGCAGAGGCAGGCCATTCTCTGAGCTCAAGGTCAGCCTGGTCTACACAGTGAGTTCCAGGACAGCCAGTACTGTTACACATAGAAACCCTGTTGCAAAAAAAAGCCAATATATATTTCATCAAAGAAATACTGAAAAGATAATTTTAAGAATTAAGCTAGAAGGCAGGCAATGGTGGTACAAACCTTTAATCTCAGCACTTGGGAAGCAGAGGCAGGTGGATCTCTGAGTTCAAGGCCAGCCTGGTCTATAGAGTGAGTTCCAGGACAGCCAGGGCTACACAGAGAAAGCCTATCTTAAAAAACCAAAAGAAGCCGGGCGGTGGTGGCGCATGCCTTTAATCCCAGCACTCGGGAGGCAGAGCCAGGCGGATCTCTGTGAGTTCGAGGCCAGCCTGGACTACCAAGTGAGTCCCAGGAAAGGCACAAAGCTACACAGAGAAACCCTGTCTCGAAAAACCAAAAAAAAAAAAAAAAAAAAAACCAAAAGAAGCCGGGCGGTGGTGGCGCACGCCTTTAGTCCCAGCACTCGGGAGGCAGAGGCAGGCGGATCTTTGTAAGTTCGAGGCCAGCCTGGTCTACAGCGCGAGATCCAGGAAAGGCGCAAAGCTACACAGAGAAACCCTGTCTCGAAAAAACCAAAAAAAAAAAAACAAAAGAAAAAAAAATGTAGCTAGACATACTGGTTTTTTTTTGTTTTTTTGTTTTTGGTTTTTCAAGACAGGGTTTCTCTGTGTAGCTTTGGTGCCTGTCCTGGATCTCACTCTGTAGACCAGGCTGGCCTGGAACTCAGAGATCCACCTGGCTCTGCCTGCCGAGTGCTGGGATTAAAGGTGTGTGCCACCACCGCCCAGCGACCTACTGTTTTTTATCGTTAAAATGAGAATACTGAAGACAAGAATGTTTTATTAACAATCTTTAAATACTGGATCAAATTAGTAATTCCCATGTCAAGAGGTCAAAGAGAGCATGGGAGAAGGGGGAAATCGAGGCATATGAACAGTTTCCTTAAGTGGGGCTGTCACTCACAACTGGTTCATGCGCCATCTTTGAGATGGAAGTCACAGGCTGCACAGGAACCTGCAGACTGCACGCACCGTCACTTTAACTTGCCTGTATTTTAGCTGAAGCAGCACTCTCTCTGGGTTTAGGCATCTGTTCGCAAATTCCTTAGGAAAAGCAAACTCCATAGCCGCCAGTTTCCACACAATCCACCTGTAGTGATTGGAGACCCAGGCGCTCGAGAGCAGCTGTGGATCCACACCTGGAGTGTCACACAGAGCCCTGCACCAAGAAACATACGAGACAATAAAACACAGAATCCTGTCGGACTCCACAGCCATCGCCTCTTCTTCTGCAAAACCATGCAGGAAGCTTTTGGGAGGATACACCGGGAAGCAATGTTGTACAACTCAGCTGCTGATGTCTAAGTGCCGAGACTTGCTAATTATGTACCGATACTGAAATATTTCTGTTTACATTTCAGTGCTTTGTTTTTTTTAAATTTTTTCACTTCTTAAAAAACAAACATTTTATTGATTCGTTGTGGATTTCACATCCTGGATCCTGGTCCCACTCATAATGCTCATGCATTTACGTGTCATCCCTGTGCAGGGCCACACTCATCTCGGTACCGTCCCAATTTCAGTGTATGTGCTGCCAAGCAGGCACTAGTGCTTGTCCTCTTACCGTGTGTTACCGCCACGTGAAAGAGGAAAGGACACAAGTGGGGCTACCACAAGGAAAACGCACAGTGAACTACTTCTACTATAATGTATGAAAGTATAGCCGATTTAAAAAACCAAAAAACACACTTCATTAAGTCTCAGGATAAATCACATTCAATTTTCAAAAGATTTCAAAAGAATGTTTAGTGAATCAAAATACACTTTAAAAGATTCCTGATTTAAAAAAAAAATGACTAGTGACTTTTTAGCTTCAGAGCCATAGGAAAGACAGGAGAGAGGAAACAGGGCTGGAGAGATGACTCAGTGGGTAAGAGGATCTGAGTTCAAGTCCCAGCACCCACATGGTGGCTCACAACCATCTGTAATGAGATCTGATGCCCTCTTCTGGCACAAAGGCATACATGTAGATAGAGCACATTAAAAAAGAGAAAGAGAGAGAGAGAGAGAGAGAGAGAGAGAGAGAGGGAGGGAGGGAGGGAGGGAGGGAGGGAGGGAGGGAGGAAGACAGAACAGGCAAAGGTTAACAGAAACCCTCTTTCTGCACACAGCACCTATAAAATTCTTCTTTTCCAGCCTTCCCATCATTGGAGGGGATCAGCCATCCACCGTCTGCCAACTGAACGCCCTTTCCAGAACACAGATCTTCTTTACCAAAATAATCCTGAAGGTCAAACTGAAAATACTCAGCGTTTTTGCTGTTAATGTTTATGCACTCTTTAGACACGCCATACATGTAGAGCTGTACAAAACAAACAATAGAAAAATGTGGTAATAAATAAATAAAAATCAAATACAGTCCTAGAATATAAACTGAATTTATCCAGACCTTTTCACTTAAATACTAAAATAGTCATTATAAAGCTATTAACTGGTCCAGGAGTATAGCTCATTGATAAAGTATGTGCTTAGCATGTGAAAAGCACTGGCTGTGAAACACACACACACACACACACACACACACACACACACACACACACACACACACACACGGACGGACCCGAACCCCCTCTGCACTAGAAGTATAATGTTTATAAACAGCTCATGTATCTAGAGGTGCTCTCCCTTTTCATCTCCTCTCCTATCTCCCTCCTGCTAGATCGACCACCTGCAGGGGCGGGCTGCGCTTCTTCAACAGTCCCTCCATAGAGTAAACTGAGTGCAGCACAGGTCAGCATGGCCCCTGCACCGGCACACATGCAAATTCACCAAGAGCTCCGTGGTTTCAGCCCACTGTGTTGTACAAAGGACACGTGCTAGTGATTTCTCCGAAAGGCAAGGGAGGGGAGGTGCAGGGCACTGCAGGAGCTTCCTCTCAGCCCGCACGCCCGCCCAACCCCGTGTCTGTCCCTCAGGCAGAGCGGCTCTGACCCCTCTCTGTGCTCCAGTGGGAAAAATGATGGTGCATTTCTCAAAGGGGCTGTGAGGCTGAAGGCAGCCGTCACCGAGACATCTGAGGTGACAGAGCTTCAGTCCACACCGTTAGCACCACTGCTGCTACTTTCGGCCTTCTACTCTGGAATATTCCACAAACAGTAGTGTCTTCACTAGACTCAAACATCAGCACCTCTAGAAACCGCAGGGCTATCAGTCACTCACACTTTAAATCAGGGCTGATTCGACTCCTCCAACACCTAGCTCAGAGCACTTACACCACCAAAGCAAGAAAGATCTGAAGCACCACCAGCAGTTTTGAAACACAGATGACTTTGGTGAGGGTAAGACATGCCTGGCAGAGGCCAGGGAGGCCACTGTAGGCTGATGAGGAAGCAGAATCGCTTTTCATTTGCTCAGCAGTGATTTGTTCATTCTCCACACAAGACAATTTGCAGATCCTAGCTAACGGCAGGTGGTTTCCCTTTTGCTGTAAAAGATGTTAGCATCACAGCGTACCTGCTTATGAGAACACGCAGAAGGAACCCGGCCTCCTACTGCGGCCTGCAGAGAGATCCGAGGCGGGGTGGATGATTTTGTAAGATACAGACTGCCTGGCTGGGGACAGAGATGGTGCCTTCCTTTCTCTTTAATTCGCATATTCTGTAGGTCTCTGGCATTCTGGAGGCTTGTCATTAAATCTGTTAAAGGACAGTTTGCAAAAGTGAAATGGATGCAAAGTTTAAAGGGCACAGCCTGGCTGGGCAGTGGCAGCGCATGTCTTTAATCCCAGCAATTGGGAGGTAGAAGCGGGTGGATCTCTGCAAGTTCGAGGCCAGCCTGGTCTACAGAGCTGGTTCCAGGACAGCAAAGGTAACACAAAGAAACTGGGTCTCCAAAAACCAAATAAACAAACAAACAAACAAATAATAAGCTCCAGCCAGTCACAGAGGTCTTGGACTATGTACCTAATGGTCCTTTTATTTGGGGGGACAGGTCTCACTCAAGCCTACGCTAGCACTGAGCTCCCAGCACTCTTCCTGTCCCAGCGTCCTGACACCGGGTCTATACGCCAGCTGCACGAAGTTGTTCTTTTTTTGAGACAGTGTCTTGCTGTGTAGCCCAGGACAGCCTGGAACTCCCAGTGCTCCTGACTTAAGACTCTCGAGTGGTGGCGTTACAGGTGTGAGGACACTTCATGCCTGGTTTTGCACCACTATTATGTTTGTCTGGTGTGTGCGTGGCGTGTGCACACATGCGCACACGCACACATGCAGTGAAGGCCACAGGTTAATAGGGAGTGTCTTAACCCGTCGCTCTCCACTTTGAGACAAGGTCCCTCACGGTTGCAGAGCTCACCCATTTGACCAGGCTGGCCAGAGAGCGCCAGGAATCCTCCTGTTTCAGCCCCACTTCAGCACCAGAAGCACACATGTGTGCCACCACATCTGGATTTTATATGGGCACTAGAAATCTGAACTTAGTCCTCCTCATACTTGCACGGCAAGCACTGCATCCACTGAACCCGCCTCCTACCTCCTGACTTTTGTTTAAAAAAAATAAACAAAATAGAAGAAAACAAGGAAGCCTGTGAGTAGTTATTTTGAAAGAAACCATGAGAACAATTTGAACCTAACCTTTGGATTCAGAAAACCTGAGATGTTAAAAAAGTTTCTGAACTGACTAATCACCATAAAAGGGATGAAGTGCTCAGGAAACATTAACAGGAGAACTAGCTAATGTAGTGGTTCTCAACCTGTGGGTCACGACTCCTTTCCAAGGCCTCCTAAGACCAACAGAAAACACAGATGTTTATATTACGATTCATAACGGTAGCAAAGTTACAGTTAGGAGGTAGCAACGAAATTCACTTTACAGTTGGTCACCACATATGAGGAACTGACTGTACTGAAGGGTCGCAGCACTGGGAAGGTTGGAACCACGGCTCTAACCGAAAGGTGAGACCCAGGACTAGCAGACGGCCCAGCAGGTAAAAGTGCACCCGCACAAGCCAGCCGACCTGAGTTCAAATCCCAGAATGCACAGCAGAGGAGCGAACAACTGCCCACAGCTGTTCTCTGGCCACCACATGTGCACTGTGGCTCTTGTACCTGCACACACACAGGATCCAAGATTTAACAACTCAGGACAAAACCAGGTCAAACAAATGCCCTCGGTACCTAAAGGCTCCTCGTCACACTCTGTGAAGGGTCTAGTGGCCTCCTGACGGAAGCTGCCCTTGTCAATCAGACGGACGCCACTGTCACGCACATCTTCCCTGTCTCCGTCTCTGCTCTTCTGGTTCTTTCTCTCTGAATTAATGTTCTTGCTCTTACAATGTTCATCTCTGTGCAACTGCGATTTCATCTTGAAAGGTGGGATGAAGACTTTGGCGGATCTGCCGGTGACTGAGCATCGTGTCCTTTCATCTCTAGTGGCAGAGACTGCGTGAGTCAGCGGGAGTGAAACCATAGCACTGCCTGAAGATTTCTCCAAAGCCGGCCGCCCAGAAGGCTGCCCTTTAGACGGAAGTCCTTGAGCAGGAGCGGGAAAATGTACACTCTGCATTTCGTGCCTTTCTTCACTTGAGCTGCATTGGAGAGAGAGTCAAGTCTGCCTGTTTGTCAGGAAACGCGTGCGTGCGTGTGGTGAGCCTGTGCACTGTGCACTCTCAGCGTGTGTCCCTCCCGCTCTGCACAGCACTCTCCTCTTCCTGCCTCCATCCGCCTGTGTGTGTGTGTGTGTGTGGGGGGGGGTGCCTGCTAGTAATTCAGTCTTCCAGTTTCCAATCCAGCCTCTCTCTTTTCTCTCCTCCAGCTATCTATACATGTTCTAGCACACATTTCTAATTCATTCTAAATGAATCAGAGCTTAACATGAAAAAACAAAAATCACCCTTTTCCTAAATTATACTAAAATTAAAAAAAAAAAATTACATATCTTACCAGAAGGGTGCACAGGTAACCGGCTCTAGAGACACATGGTGCGTGAACAATCTTCTGTCTTTTATTGTGCCTAAAAAACCCCACTCTACAGTATTAGTGAAAGGTAGAAGGTTTTAGATGCCATTCGTTTATTACATATTACTATAAATGTTCATGAAATTTTGATAGACATTGAAGTTTCCAATGCACATTACGGATATTTAATAAGTAATTATTGAATACACTTCATTTGCAAACTAATTACTATAAACCAGATGATCTGCATTTCAAACCTCAGAGAAATCAGCTTTAAACCTAGTACAGTGGTGCTAGCAATCATTACAGTTAGCTAACGGCCAGCGGTAGTATCAACTCTAACGTTTAGATTTATGAAGGTTCAGAAGCAAAGCTTCAGACAGTATTCTTTCTAATATGTAATTTAGAGCTATTAGACCTCCAGTTTGTACACAAATTGGGGATTAGCCGAATAAACTAGGATAGAGTCACACCATCCAGAATGCAACTATGTATCCATGTAAATAAATAGGAAAGACATTTACATAGTCAGTCATCAAGCGGCATTCCATCTAGCTTTGCAGAGTGGCAGTATCGTAGTCAGTGAGGTTTATCTGAGGCATGATCATAGCTAATTGAAAACTTGAAATATAGTTGGCACTGGCAACTCCATATTTCTCTAAGGAGACTGTCAAACAACAACAACAACAACAACAAAAACAGCATTACCCCCAAAAAAGCAAACAAAGTACAATAATGCAGACAGATGTTATTAAAGACTGCCTACAAGAATAAATTGAAAACCACTGAGAAGAGGTGGGGAGATTGGAAAACAGATTGGAGTGTGCCTGGGGTAGATTTAAGACTCCTCCAAGTCCACCTTTCCACAGAACTTACGAATGAGGTATGCCAATGTTTTGTTTGTTCATATGTAAGATTAAAGACTAACAAAAGTGGGGTTGGAGAGACAGCTCAGCACTGCCTGTACTCGCAGAGAGAGGACCAGGGTTCAGTTCCCACCACCTACACGGTGACTCACAACTGTCTCCAGTTACAGGGGATCTGATGCCCTCTTTTGACCTCTACACACACCAGGCACACACACGGTGCACATACATACATACAGGCAAAACGCCCATACAATTAGCGACAAAAAACAAAACAAACCAGCAAAAAAGCAAAGGAACCCCCCCCCCACCCCAGAAAATCCTAAAGCTGGAAACAAGTGAACTTAACCTAACTATCAGTTCTGCACATGCAGAATTATCCTGACTGACATCTGAACACAGCACAATGACAATACATCTTTACGGACTTAAAAGGACAAAAATGGCAAAGAATTCTGAGGTCTCCATATATGTATGTTGGGAATTTGAAACTATTATGTCTATTCTGTGGGAAGGCGTGTATCAAGGGTGGTCTAAGGAACAGAGGGCGAGTGCCCACATTGCTCTTAAAAGGACCTGCTATCAGCACTGTGTCTGTTCACTGTCCAAGACCCTCTGCACTGCTGGTATACCTTCCTACAGACGCCCGTCTATCTCAGGTCCATTTTCAGTTGGGCTGAGACTCAGCACCTACTTTTTCTGGCCAGAGCATTACCATGGGCACCTGAGAGAATGAGAAGAAACCAGTTACTCAGACTTCGTCTTTCTAGAACTGATTCTACTCGTTAGTGTGTGTGTGTGTGCCCGTGCACACGTGCCCGTGTGTGACGGTGTGCGGGTGAAGGTGACAGGACAACTTTTGGAGGTCAGTCTGTCCTAAAATGTGAGTCACGGGGATTGAACTCATGTCTTCACCAGCGGAACAATTTCACCAGCCCAAGGTTTTTTCAAACAAATGAAATAAGGTCATGACTACAAGGAGGACAGCGACAGTATTTTTGCCTGAGGTAAAACTGAGCTTTCAGCCAACAAGGAGAATTTAGGGAAGTTTGTATCTGGTTCTGTACATTTCCTAATAAGTAAGACTTTTCAGACTAAGAAGTAATGTCACTGACAACAGTGGATAATGTTGGGGGATAAAAGTTGTCAACTTGGAGCTGGGAAGTTGACGCATGGGTGCTGATGCTCTCTCACAGGACCTTGAGTTCAGTTCCCAGCACACAACTAAAGGGAACCTGATGGCCTCCACCTCCAGGGAACCTGATGGCCCTGGCCTCCTCAGGCACTGCAGTCATATGCACAGACGGACTCCTGCACGGGTACACACACACACCACACACATACACACACACATACACACACACACCACACACACACACACCACACACACACACACAAAATAAATGATTTTTGTTGAAAAAAGAAGAGGAGAAAAAAACAACTGTATGCAGTGAGTTGAAAGATGAGTCAAATCAGGACTAAAAAATGCCCACCTCGATGGGCAGTGATGACACACGCCTTTAATCTCAGCACTCAGGAGGCAAAGCCAGGTGATCTCTATGAGTTTGAGGCCAGCCTGGTCTACAGAGTGAGTTCCAGGAGAGGCTCCAAAGCTACAGAGAAACCCTGACTCCAAAAACTAAGGAAAAAAAAAAAAAGCCCACCTCATTTGGTAGCTGGGATGTGACTTAAAAAGACTGCCTTGGCCGGGCGGTGGTGGCGCACGCCTTTAATCCCAGCACTCGGGAGGCAGAGGCAGGTGGATCTCTGTGAGTTTGAGGCCAGCCTGGTCTCCAAAGCGAGTACCAGGAAAGGCGCAAAGCTACACAGAGACACCCTGTCTTGAAAAAACCAAAAAATAAAAAAATAAAAATTAAAAAAAAAAAAGACTGCCTTTGACAAACTGCTGTGAGTCACTTCACAGTTTCCTTACGTTTAAAGTCACTATCTCGTAAGCAGCCTACCCTTGACAATTAGCGCTTTCTCGGTGCCCTACTAGGCATCATGGACGAACCATCCATGGAACAAATGAGGCGAACGAATGTGTAACATGAAAGCACTCTGTAGACACGAGAACTACGAGTGAGTTTAAGAGTAACATCAGAGCACGTGTTGAGGGGAAAGATATGAATAAAAACAAATTTACCATCTGGAGCACTTTTTGAAGGCTTTAAGGATTTTCTTCTATTTTCTATTATCCTGTCAAATTCATTTAACAAACTTCTTTTAATTGGGGGTTGTCCTAAAAAGAAAATTCCATACATGTTTGTGATTATGCCAGTTTTACGTTTTAAAAGCCTAGCTTTCACTTTTTAAAACTAAAAGTACTGACTCATACATGTTAAGCAATGAAGAAGAAACCAAACCCCACAGTTTAAGTCTTGTTAAATTTGCTCACAGAGTGAACCTGTAGACTACTTGGTGAAGTGACCCTGTGTCTGGCAGGGAGGCTTGGCGTGTCGTGAGCTGACTTCCAGCCCCCCCCCCCCCCCCCCACGCCACAGGATGGCGCTAGAGAAGAAGACAGATGGGGGCTCTGAGGCTCTGAGGCCGCAGCTTGTTTCAATCCTCCTCAAGGGGGGACGTTAGTTTTGACATCTGTCCTGACTGCGGTGTCAGCTGACTCCATACTTAAGATTCCTTCTAGTCTCAGACACGACCAAAAACGCACATTTCGGATTAACCGAGTAGTGTCACCATGTCATTAGATACGTTCTTAAAAGAGAAATTAGAACACTGTCCAATGGCATGACCTGGAGTTGGGGGCCCGCTGGGAAGATGGCTCAGTGGTTAAGAGCACTGTCTGCTCTTCCAGAAGACCCAGGTTCAATTCCCAGCACCCACATGGCAGCTTGCTACCCTTTGTAACACCAGCTCTCAGGGATCCACTCTTTTGACGGGCACCAGGCATGTACATGGTGTATTGATATATATGCAAGAAAAACACCCATATACATAAAATAAGGAGTTTTGAAAGAGAATAGGGCATTATTTATTAATACAACTGCTTTTAGAGTATTTCTGAGGGAAGCAAGCAAACACTAAGTTCTGCATAGATAAGTAATGTGTCAGGTTCAATGTTAAGTAACTTATTTTAAATTTTGTGATTTAAAAAATTTAATCAATTAATGGATGGATGTTTTTGAGGCTGACCTTGAACTTAAGGCAATCCTCCTGTTCAGGTTCCTGAATGCTGGGATTACGGTTACTATCAAATATCAAACCTGGCAGTACTAAGCACAACTGTGTCTTTACAATTCTTGTGAGAGGTAGTAACTACACTTTACGGAGAGGGACACAGGCTCAGAGAGATGAGGTGACGTGAGGGTACCGTAACTAAGCAGTACTCAGAACTCAGGAAGTCACAGGGTTAGTCTAGAAACCAGCTCCTAACTGCCACTCACGGGAAATGGTAACATTACACCAGCTTTGTGGAAAATCAGACGTCTTAACATCATTTCTCAACTAACTACTAGCAATCTCTAAAAATACACTAAAGATCCTTAAAATATGACCTGTTGGTACAGACAGTGCAAAATCACTGTCCTCCAAACTCTACAGAGAAAAAAAAAGGTCTTTATAAACACTGTAGCCCATGAGACGACGGAGGCCGGAACCCTTGAGCCCAGACCAGCAGAGCACAGAAGAAGTGAATCCTTACCAACTGCACCATCAGCCGCTCCTCTTCTTTTCCTAGCTCTCGGATTTAACAGAGCCTCGTTCCGGGGGCAGGTAAGCGAAGAGAATCTGGCATGACTTGGTTCAGAATCCGTCAGATCATCATCCTCCATAAAAGCTTTGGCAATCTCTACCGCTTCTGTTTCAAAACAGTTCTCTGGCTCTTTAGCAGAAGTAGAGCTGACCGGAACATCACAAAAAGCTTCCATTTGACTGGTTTCTGTTTTTACATTCTGAGGTAAGGTTTGTTCTTTTTCCAGGAGATAAGCCTTCTTAAGGGACACTCTGGTTCCTAATGCCGACTGTGTGTCTTGCTTAAACTGAGAGAGTTGGGGAGAAACTTCAACAGACTGAGTAGTGTCTAAAGAACCAATTTCTTTATAGTTATTTGGTAAACTGAATTTATCATCGTAGTTTTTCTGCAATTTAGAGGTTACAGGGTATTCTGGGGTTCTCCTTCCAACACAACGTTGAGGAAGTATTTTTGATACATCTGCAGAAGTAGGTGGATGCTGGAGAGTATGTTCAGTCCTGATCAAGTCAAATTCCTCTAACATTCCCTTAACTTTGTGTAAGGCACTTTCTGAAACTGTGACCCGTTTCCCACCTGCTGTACTAAATCCAGAGAATACAGATGAATTGACATTGTTTGGGAAGGGTTTTGGGAGTGATGATACAGCCTCGGGGTGATGCACCCCGGAGTTTTCTCTTCTCCCAGAGTGGTCCAGAGACACCACGGAAGGTGACTGCTCAGCACCACCATCCACCTTGGAGAGCACTTGTCTCGCCTTGTCTAAAGAAGCATTTGATACCTGTACAGTTTTTCCACTTGCAGTGCTAAAAACCCCGCAACTGCCTGAAGCACAGGCTGCCCGGGGAAGCTCCCTTACAGATTTACATCTATCCCAAGCTCCCAAATTAACAGGAGGTATTTGAGCTCTCTCCAGTCCACACACACTTTGCTTATGCTGTAAAATTTGTTCATTGTGGGTACAAACAAAAGTCTTAGGTGAGTCATCATCTAAAAAGCTAGAACATATAAACTCCTCTGAATTATCCAATGCTAATTTAGGACAGCTTGTCTGGCAAGAATCTGGTTTACTCTTTGTGTTTTGTTTAATTGTTTTATTGCAGTTATCTGTGAGTATCTCTTTCACTGTTCTTACGGTCTCTTGCGAATGAGCTGTAATGACCACAGGTGGGCTTAGTTTACAGCTCCTTGAATCTGGAGGAGCCCAGTCAACGGCTGCATTTTTATTTGCACATGGTGAAGAGTCAGTCTCAAGTTTCGGAACACAGATATCTTCATTTACAGTTTGTGGGTATGTACTTACTTCTTTTGTAGCAGACACACTGGGGAAAATGGCATTGTCCTCAGCTCTCTTCATGTCTGGCTGAGTATCAGAATCAATGTTGTTTTTTGAGAGATATCCCGAGTCATCACGCCTGTTATCACAATGACAAAAACTAGAATGGGCTGGACAGCTGTGACACACGCTAGGGTCACCAAAGAGAGCTGAAGGTCGATTTTCAGAGACACGACTTGTACCAACTTCATTTCTGATACTGTCGAAAGGATGCTCACACAAGGCGTTTCCAGCATAGCCTTCAGTGTGCTCCTTTACACATTCAACTCCGGCAGCATTTCTTTTTTCAAGCTTATCACCCAGTCCTTCTCTGAGCCATTTTCTGCCTTTGGATAGAGAAGACTCAGTGACACAGGCTTCTCCACCGTGTCCTGTATCACACGCCAGCACAGCATCTTCGGTGACTGAGTGGGACAACCGACTCACGCAGCAGGCTGTAGGACTTTTTTCTACTTCACTGTCTGTGTTTCCATGAGCCTCAGCTTTAGAAGAGGTCCCATCTGATGTTCTGAGATCTGCAGTCTGCCTACACAGATGATCACTCTGCGTGGGTAGCACGGCAGCCTCCTCAGAGACAGAGCTCTTCTCCTGCATTTCTTCTTCACACTTTGAGGCAGGTATTTCAATTCTCTCACATGCTAATGTAAGCCCTTCTTTGGAGCTCTCTCTGTCCTTCAAGGGTTGTGATCCTTGATGACTAAAACTGGTGGTTTTCCTAACATACTGTGTCTCATCAAAAAGGTTTTTCACTTTGTCCAAAGATTCTTGTGTAATTCTGACTTTTTTCCCACTAGCTGTATGAAAACCCAATGGAGTAGGTTCTCTGATACTTTCTATTTCACATTCAGGATGCTGCTGGAGAGTTGGTAGTTGACTGACAGTCCCAACTGGGAAACGCTCTTCAAATACCTTTTTAATACTGGTAGTTTCCTTGGGACATGAAATATCCATTTTGCTTTTATTTTTGCCACAATGAAATTTAGAATTCAAAGAATCTGAAAAGATGATCAATTCTTCTGTTTCTTGATTAAAAATATACAGACTTTTATTCAATGACTCCTCGGAGACTCTGATATTTTTCCCACTTGCAGTCTGGAAGGATATATTAAAATCTTTTATACTCTGTTCCCTCTTTCCTGAAGGTAATTGTTCTTTATCTGAAGATTGAATAGAGCACGTCTCCTCGGCTTTCATGACTTCCAAACATGTTAAATCTGATATGCATTCCTTAATCTGAGTGTTTGTCTCCCTCACATACTGGGTACAGGACTCAGGACACTTACTGCACTCATCAGCAGCACGTGGTAAGTCACTGTCATCTTTACGAATATGAACTGTGCCACCTGTACTGGACGTCCTACCCTCAGAGTGCTCAACTTTATAAGCACTTCTCTGAGAACCAGGAGAGCTGTTATCGTCACATTTTGTATCTCTTGCATCATTTTCGGGGTTTTTGTCAACAGAAACACCAGTGGTCATTTCAGCATTATTTTGTAATGTCACTTGGCACTTCCTAGTCTTCCCATCAAAACTTTTATCATTGTTTTGTTTCTGTATCTTTAACACTGAAGCATCAGAATCATGATGTGCAATTGAAGAGAAAGCTCTGGGGTCTGCTTTGGCAGACGTCTCCTCACTGATATTTTCAATGTCACGGAAGAGGTTCACAGCTTTCTGCAGAGCCTCACTAGACACACTAAGCTTTGTGCCACGAGCAGAGTGAAATCCCCCACCCGCCATTTCATTTATATTCGTTAAGAAACGAGAGGTACTCTTGTTACCACTGCCTTTCAACAGGCGAGGGAAGCTTTGTCTACCTCCAACAGAACCTCTACATTTCCTGCTGTGATTGGTCTGACCTACAGAGGAGGAGGAGGGAGCCCCTGTGAGACGAAGATCAACATCTCCCCACTCCTCAGAAGCTGTTCGCATGGCAACCATCTGGTTTCCAGGCACTTCAGGTGTATTACTCTGTGCTACATGGCTTGGCTTTCTGAACTGTGTGAATTCAAACTGACTTCCTGATTCTTCCAAGATAGTAGAAAGTTCTGTAATTTCTGCCTTTTGGCTGGGCGTTAAATTGTGATTTGAATGAAAATCTTGCTTTGAAGATAACACCTGAGGTGATGTGTGAGTATCTTCACCAGAACCAGATGCCCAACTCTGAGAATGCGCAGACACGGCAGTAACTGGCTGCGGATCGAACGTATAAGGTTCACTCAGTCTCTTCTGGTTGGCTAATGGTCCAGCATTCACATCAACACAAGTTAAACTAGTGGGATACTGCTCTTCAATGTCTTTGAAGAACATTTTGCTTTTCTTGATATTATGTTCTGAAAGTTTTATTTCTTTATTGGAAGCTGTTCTGAAGTTACCTCCAAAACTATGGCTAAAAACTGGATCCAAGAATCCTGACCATTTGTCTGTACACTCGTCGGTCCCATCTGATTTCACATCCAAGGAAGAATTCAACTTTAAATCCTTGTCTGCAGCTCCTTTCAGATGCTGCTCTGTGGTACTTCTACTCTTCTCTGAACAAACATGGACCGGAGTTGCGGAGCCTGAGGCTTCTGTAATCAAGGCATGGACTGTTTGCTCATCACCTATGTCTCCATCTACTGCTGTGGGAGCGTCCCTGAGGCCAGGCCCGTTTGCACAGCTGAGATCTTCTTCCTGCAGTTCTGCGGTACTTCCTAGAGCAGTCTTATTACTTTCATGAGTTACTTGAAAGGCAAAATTACTCTCATTGTCTGGGAAAAGTTCAGAACTTATATTGACTGCTACTTGTGAAATAAAAAGCGCTTCTTCTCGGTCCTTTCTTATGACTGCCAGATTGGTATTGTGACTGAACTGAGACCTCACTGGAGGGGACGCTTCTGTTACATATTTTCCAGGTGGCAGAAGCTCTGGGGTTTTACAATTTTCACTTAGGAAGCATATTTTATTTTCCCCCGAGGGGACATGTTTGCTTAAGTCACTATTATCTTCCCAACTCTCACCCTGCAGCTTCTCTGGCATGTCCCACGACACTCTTCCTCTAGACACCACAACTGGCTGTGACAGAGGCACCTTCAAGCTGGGCGTTCCTTCCAGAGACCTTGTGCTGCTGTGGCCACCAGCAGGGTCTTCCTGTAATGCAGAGCTAATGCTGCTGGGATGCACTGCTGCTGCACCTGCTGCACCTGCTGCACCTGCTGCACCTGCTGCACCCGCTGCAGGACGACATGCTGACACCAGGACGCTTTCTTTTCCATCTGAAACTTCGGGGCTCTTTTGATCATCTTCACACTGTTTTTCTGGCACGCACGACAGACAGTCAGTTTCCAGGGCTGTACACGGCCACAGGTTTTCTCCACTGACCACCACTGCTTTGCCATTGAGATCCTGAGCTATCAACACGTTAGTGTAACTACTTTCTGTATCGGAAGCAGTCACAAAGGAGTGGGTCAAGGACAAAGACGGCTCTTCAGAGTCATCCTGCAAACAGCTTCCTTTGACAGAAGCATCTGATAAACCTAAACATAAGAACACAGAGTGACAGAACGGGTTAAAGAACTACTAATGGCACACACTCAACACTTTTACCAGGTTAAAGTGTTTAAAGTAGGAAGCACAAGATGAGCAAGAGCGATAAACAGACTCAACACAGAACCCCACAGTTACCAGTTTGAAGTTACTGAGTTTCCAGATGAAGGGGCTGAGAGGCTTGCTCAGTCAGTAAAGTGCCTGCCTGAATTCAGACCCCTAGTACCCACAGGTACCCACAGAAAAAGCGGGGTGTGGCAGTGTGAGTCTGTCAACCCCAGTGCAGTAGGATGGGGAACAGAGGCAGGCAGGCAGGTCCCTGGAGCGCAAACAGCTCTCGAGTCCTCTAGACCACCAGCCCACTCACCAAGCCATTTACATTTTCTCGTAGGGAGATAAAACTGACTCTGGGTGGTGGGCGTGAGGGGTGGAGTGGAGTCAACAGATCTCCCTTATGTTCCCCAGGTTGTCCTTGAATTCCTACGTTCAAATGATCCTCCTGCTTCAACTTCCCAAGTAAACACCATTTTTAGTTATCCCATTTGTATATAATAAATACTTTTAAGCAGGAGCTAAGTGGTCAGGTTCCTAACGTATATGGATAGAAAGCTGACTCAGGAGCCATGAAGCAGGACACAGACGTGCATGTCTGTGGTCCCAACTACTTGGGAGCCTAAGGCAGGAGGATTAGCCAAGCTCAAAGCCAGCATAGAGCACAAAATGGGGACGGATGGCACGATGGCTCAGTGGGCACAGGCACGTGCCCTGAAGCCTGAGGATCCGAGGACCCACATGGCAGGTCAGACACAAGCTGTCCACTGACCTCCACACATGCGCCCTGTGCCACGCATACGCCCCCCCCACAGATACACAACAAATACTAAAACAAACAAAGCTGATGATACACACAGGGCAAAAGGATCCAACAAGTTTGATCGACACATTTCCAAACCCTGAACCCAGTCTCAACCATAATGTATATAAGCACTGTCTGAGATTAACACCAGGCCTACAAGACTACAGAGAGAAAGCAGGTATTTCTTTTTAAAAAAAATTTCAAAAATCACATATTCAAATAAGAGAACTTAATCTCATCCATAAAACTATATACATGCTAGAAGAAAAAAAGAGGAGTACCTGAATCTGCATTTGTAAACGTGAATGGAGCTTCCAACGCACTTGCTTCGAACTGAGCTGAGGGGGTAGTGAGTTCTGCCTGTCTGCCAGCCTGCACTGCTTTTCCTTGATGAGGTGCACCATCGCTCACAGAGTAAATAAACCTTCTCCTTTTACTTTTGAGAGTGGATATTAGGCCCGAGTTTTTCACTGCTGCAGATGTGTGAGTGACAGGCGTTGGCCAGCTCCCGGTGTCGACCGGACCAGGACACAAAGAATCCCCTCTCTCTGAGCACACAGCACGCAGTCCCGAGAGGCCTGCAGAGGCTCCGGGTTCTTCTGTAACGGCCGAGATGGTCGCACTCTCTGAGGAAACAGTGCCCGGAGACTGGTCAAGCGGCCCTCTCATCTGGAATACAGACTTCCTGACACTCTGAAAGAGGCAGGCTGCTTGACCAGTTCCAGACTCTGCCTGCTCCCCTGCAGTGCGGTCCTCCTGTGATTCAAGACGCTGTCCGTGTTCCTCACCTCCCAGAGTTTTCTCACTGAACATCTTTTCTGGTTCCGGAAAACTAGAACCATGAGGCAAAGAGTTTTCTGAAGTAAGAGAGTCAATACCTTCTTTCTTCATATCTATGAAGTCCTTTTCTGAATTATTTTGGTTACAAGAAGAAATAGGAAGTGGAGGTTTTTCTCCCGGCTGGGTTCCAGTTAGACCAGAGAGGGCTAGCTGAGACCACCCACTGTCTGAGGACTGCACAGCTGCCTGGCAGAGCTCCTCACTTTGGCTGTCAAAGGGCTTCTGGTGCGTCACATCAGGGGCTAAGGGGCCACTATTGCGTGGTTCAATTTCAAGTGCAAATGACTGTGTTTCCTCAGCTCGTCTTCTGGCTTCTTCACTGAACTCACCAGTTCCTACTTCACTGAAGATGTTCTTCCTGGTCTTGCCCAGTCTCATTTTTTGTAGATTTCTGGTTCTGTGCTTAGGAAAACATAAGGAGAAACTATCTTCTTCAGAAGTATATGCAGCTGCCTCCCCATCTTCTAGAACATTTGGCACTGGCTTTCTGAGGCAGTCTTTGAAGCTGTTTGTTTTGCCAGATGAATCCCCTAACATTTTCTCCAATCCTGTTACAATTCAAAACAAAAGCACATTATAACATTTATAATGCAACCATATTCTTTATATTATCACACAATTCTTCTCAGAGATGATTCATATTAAATAATACACAATTCTGCAGTCAGGGGTTATTCTGAATGCCAGCTCTTTTTCTGGTAAGTCACTCTTCTAAAACCCGATCCCAGTGTGCCGACAGTCTTTACTCAGACTCCAATCTCTAATACATCTTTTGTCAGATCTACACAACTAAGGGTCACCTCTGAGAGTGCTATGTCTTCAATTTAATATTCTGAGAATGATCATCTCAGATGTAGCCAATCGACTCTGTATTACTACAGCTAGGAATAAAATCTATGAAGCTAGTTTCTATCTTCTGTAGCCATTGTCAGAGGTCAGAAAGGAAAGCAGTGGCATTTCTCCGAAGAAAAGAACAACGGCATCCATTACGATCAGTAGCTCAACTGAACAGAAATACTTACTGTGACTGAAAGCTTCCCCCTGGGTTTTGTTTTGGCTGTCAGTCACGGAGGGAACTGATCTATCATTCTTTTTCAGACTTTCATTGGGGTTGGAAAAGTGGCTTTTCAAAACCTGCTGAAATTATTTTCAAAATCATTAATTAGTATAACCCTTTCATTGCACTTATATGTGCATGTTACCAAACAGAAAGGCAGAAAAATTTTGTAGGAAGAAATTACATATGAGATCAGGTTTAGAAACATTCTCAAAAGCTTAGGAAAACTATAAATTGTAGTTTTAAAAAACCCAGGACAGCTGGGGCATAGAGACACACACATCTAATCCTAGCACTGGGGAAGCAGAGGCAGGAGGATTACAAGTTTGAGGCCGGAATGATTTATATGACCAGTTTCAGGGTAACCAGGGCTGCAGAGCAAAAGCCATCTCAAAAAAGCCGAAGACAAAACTAAAAACAAACCCAAACCAAAACAACAACAACAAACAGCAGCTGATGGCTAGTGGGGAAGGGGTCATCTGGGTGGAGGGTATGGCCACTGGCAGGCTGCCCATCCTCCACTGCGTGCGTGTCCCACACCCATGTGCATCCAGGGGCACTAACTGGATTCAGGGCATCATTTTAAAACGAAAGAAAAAGAATACATGAAGTTGGGAGTGGGTCATGCTGGGGAGGATCATGGAGGAAGAGAAGGTGAATATGATCAAAATATATACATGTATGGCCACCTCAGAGAATAAAAAAAAAAATTTTTTTTTTTTGAGACAAGGTTTCTCTGTGTAGCCCTGGCTGTATGTATATATATATATATATATATACACATGTACACGTACACGTACACATACACACACACACACACACACACCCCTTAAAGCATTAAAAAAAACAAGCACAGGTATTCTGAATGAGGAATGTCATGAGCATCACCAGGCTGACCCTGACTTACAGCAGGAGAGTCTTCAGGAAACACAGTTCCTCGTGCTTCCTCATCTCGGGCTGTAAAAGAGAAATTCAATTTAGCTGTACTATATTACATATTGTACAACCACAATTAACAGACAGACTTCCTTCTTTTTGGAAACAACCCCGCCCACAGGCACTCTTTGGTAAGTACCACATCTGAAACAAAATGAAGTGAACAAAGCCAGCAATGAGGAAGGCCAGCCTGGACTGACCTGTCTGTCACACTGCGTTTTAATGCCACATGCAAGGTGGTAAAAATGGTGGCTTGGTAAGAACTGGTGGTTTGGTGATACATGCTTTATGGTAATATTCTCTACAATGGCAGATGAAAGACCTGTACGGCTGTGACTTCAAGGCTGCCCTAGGAAACTTTACCCTCTATAGACAATGATACAGCCTACAGGCATAATTAACGTGAATTACTTCTTAGCTTTCAGACTTTTTACTTTATTATTTCACATAAGCAACAAAAGAAAGTCTAAACACTTCTGGCTAAAGGGATCAAAGTGAAATGTTATTTGGCTAGAATCACCCAAGCTCAGTCGAGGGCTGGCAAGATGGCTCAGAGGGTGAAGGCACTTGCTGCCAAGCCTGACTGTTACCTAAGCTCGATCCCTGGAACCTGTATGGTAGAAGAAGAGAACCGATCCTGAAAACCATCCTCTGACCTCCACACCAGGGCTGGGGCACTAGCACATGAGCATATTCTACACACACAGAACAAAAACTTAAAATACTCAAGAGGTATGGTTGAGTATAAACTAATTGGAGGAGCACCACAGTGTCTTGTGAATGAGCACATCTACATAACACGGCTACATACTGTGATTAAACATGCGCACGACGTAATCACAGAGATGACACAGTGCTAAAATACAAGAGGACTCTGTCGGCATTTTAGACAAAAACGGAAGAAAAATATTCTGAACTACAGACACATCAGCACACGGTAACGTCTGAGTTATCTTTCACGTTTACTTACTTTTTAAACCTTTGTTTTTATTTTATGTATGTGGGTGTTTTGTCTGCATGTATGTTCCTGCACCACATGCAGACAGGAGTCTGTGGAAGCCAGAGGAGGACATCAGATCCCTTGGAGCTAGAGCTATTTTATTTTCTGAGACAGGGTTTCTCTGTGTAGCCCTGGCTATCCTGAAACTTGCCCTGTAGACTAGGCTGGCCTTGAATTCAGAGATCCGCCTCCCTCTGCCTCCAGTGCTGGGATTAAAGGCGTGCGCCACCACCGCCTGCCTGGCTTGGAGTTGGAATCATTGTGGACAGTTGTGGGCCACCACACAGGAGCTGAGAACTGAACCAGGGTCTCTGTAAGATAGCAAATGCTGGTAACCACTGAGCCGTCTCTCCAGCCCTCCCATGTTTTCTTTCTAACACGAGGTTAGCGATGACAACTCAGCCTCAGCGCCCTCTTCCTGTACAGTACACATCTGCCCATTACCTATGAGCACAGTGGAACTGAGGGTTGGTGGTGTAGCTAACGAACTTGACCAAGACATATCAGGATCCACCTCAACTCCAAGACTTTCGGAAATAGGTTTGGGTGTCTGAGCCTACAAAGAAAGACAACAGTTTAATTTACAGAACACTGATGATTTTTTTTTTCATTCATATTTTACTTATCACTAATGCCTCTGTGAGACAGTATGCTAAGTGCAGATCTGCAACTCTCAAGTTAAAGTTAACTCTCGCCGGGCGGTGGTGGCGCATGCGTTCAATCCCAGCACTCGGGAGGCAGAGGCAGGCGGATCTCGGTGAGTTCGAGGCCAGCCTGGACTACAGAGCGAGTTCCAGGACAGGCACCAAAACTACACAGAGAAACCAAAACCCTGTCTCGAAAAACCAAAAATAAATAAATAAAGTTAGCTCTCACATTCTCAACTTACATACTGTAAGTAATCCAAGCAGAACATTTACCTCCTCAATTTTTGGTGTAGAAAATAAACTTCCACGCACCACTGCAGGTGAAAAAACAGGAACTTGTTAGACTTTCATTAACATTTCTATAACCTACAAAAACCAGGGGCTGAAGCACTGAAGAGCACTGGCTGCTCTTGCAGAGGACCTGAGCTCCCGGCACCTACCACCGGTGGCTCACAATCACCTGTAACTCCAGGTCCAGGGCATCTAATGCTCACCTCCATAGTAGAATATTGTAAGGTGTGTTACTTTTGTGTAGGTTGCATTTGTTTAACTCTGTGTTACTACTGTGTCTGTCTAAAACACCCAATGGTCTAATAAAGAGCTGAACGGCCAGTAGAGAGGCAGGAGAAAGGATGGGGGGTGGGGGGGGCTGGCAGGCAGAGAGAATATATAGGGGGAGAAGTCCGGGAGAAGAAAAGAAGAAGTGGCCAGAGAAGGAGGAGGACTCCAGGGGCCAGCCACCCAGCTACCTAGCAAGCCACAGAGTAAGAGTAAGATTTACAGACGTCAGATAACGGGAAAAGCCCAGAGGCTAAAGGGAGACAGGATAATTTAAAGTTAAGGAAAGCTGGCTAGAAATAAGCCAAGCTACGGCTGGGCATTTGTAATTAAGAATAAGCCTCCGTGTGTAGTTTATTTGGGAGCTGTGTGGCAGACAACAACAGACTTCTGGCCTCTGGACACCAGGCATGCATGTGGTGTACATACATACCCACAGGCAAAATACTCACACAGACAATTTAAAAGCAGACAATAAAAACAAGAGCCTCTGCTGTGCTCGTACCTGGCTTTTCTCGTGGTGGCACAACCTGTGTACATCGCAGAGGAAGAGGGCTAGACGGAATAAAACAATGGCCGCAGGTTAAAAGGACCGCAGCAGTAGCAGAGAGGTCATCTGCAGTGCATCCTAGTGCTGTAGGGTTTTGGAGACAAGGGCTTGTTATGTAGCCCAGGCTGGCCTTCACCATGACCCAGCTGCCTCAGCCTCCCTAGGGCTAGGATTTTAAGAGTAGGTTACCAGGCCTGGCTCAAAGTAAATGTTTCTACCATAAAAACTACTCAGTTGAGGAATTTATTATGTATTATTTAAAAACAAGTTCTTCCGGGAGTTACTCAGCCAAAGCGATCTGGATGACAGCTTATTTCTGTGAAATAAACACATGCAAGAAAATGTTTTGTTTAAACACATTTTAGTAAGAGTTGAGCATGATGGTTCACGACAGAATCCCCAGCCTCGTGGGAGGCTAAGGCTGAAAAATTTTGAGTGCAAAGCCAGCCTGGACTGAAGTGTGAGACCAGGCCTTGCAAACAAACAAATACAACATGTATGTCTATTAAGTATTTATAAAGTATATCCCAGGGTCATCATACCTTTCACTGAGACAAGACCTCAGAGGCGGACTGGCAACGTCAAGCATGGGGTCCATTTTGGCCTTCGTTCTGCGGTGATTTTTATGTTTACTACTTGCAACGATCTTCCCTGAAACAGTAAAAGAACCCAGTGAGGGTGTGGACACTGTGGATTTTGAACTTTTACTTTTTGAACTTAAGAACAAAAAAGAATGTATAGGGAGCTGACACCTCCTACAGAAATGCATCTCAAGAGATAATGTGCACCCTACGCTATGGCACCATGGAAGGGAAAAATAAAGAGAGACACTGAATGGACCGTATCACCCTGGGAGAAACTTTCCTCATTCCATTTCAGACTCCTGAGTAAAAGTGGGAAAACGAGGCCTTCATGACTGCAACTCCCCCTCCTCCCTCCTCTTCGGTGCTGGAGACTGAAACTAGGGCTTTCCAGTGATAAACATGGGGTGGGGTGGGGGCTGGGGCTGGCGGGATGGCTCAGTGGTTAAGAGCACTGGCTGCTCCTCCAGAGGACCCAGGTTCAGTTCCCAGCACCCACATGGCAGCTCACACCTGTCTGTAACTCCAGTTCCAGGGGATCCGACTCCCTCACACAGACATACATGCAGGCAAAGCACCAATGCACGTAAAATAAAAATAAATTATCAAATGATAAACATGTACACTACCAAACTATCCCGCTCTCCTGATGGCTTCATCTGACTTGGCTGGTAAGACGCTATTCCTGCACATTCCACTTTTGTTTGTATCCAACCATTTGACTACTCTGAAAAAATGCTGTTTGTCTCTCTTCCTCTATCCCCTCCCTCCTTTTGGGGTTGCAGCCCTGGCTGTCTTGGAACTTGCTCTGTGAGCTTCTTGAGGTAGAAATTCCATCCTTTTACTATATCCATAGCAATTACAACAACACCTGACATGCTCACTGAGCATACCATGAGGTAGTAGTATAAAGCAAAGTGCATACTATGTCAAGCAATAAATATTCCGCAGACTGGATAAGTGTACAACCTTTACTAAACACGTGCTTACGAACACCTGGCACCTAGGTCAGAGAAACTGCTGTCAAATTAAAATACTCACAAGAAATTGATCTAAAGAAATCTCCATCCTATTATAACTTGCAAAAATATAGCTTAGTCAACATCAACAAATCACAGGCTTTTTTAAATATCAAAGTCATAGGGGGCTGGAGAGATGGCTCAGAGGTTAAGAGCACTGACTGCTCTTTCAGAGGTCCTAAGTTCAATTCCCAGCACCCACAAGGTGGCTCACAACCATCTATAATGAGATCTGGTGCCCTCTTCCAACTTGCAGTCATACATGCTGTATACTAAATAAATAAATCTTTAAAAAAAAAAAATCAAAGTCATAATTCAGAAAAATCTTAGTTTATTTACTAATACTTAGCACATTAATCATAGGAGGAAAGAAAAGAAGCATTGATTAAATACCGAAATTCTTTCAATGACTCCAAACCTATCACATATTATTTCCACCATCTCCACTCTTCAGTCAGACTGATTAGCACAACGCAACTCAGTTTGTCACAGAGCTGTGATTTACACACAACTTTGCCTGAAGTCCTGCCTCGCACCCCTCCATCACACTGCATGATTGGCCCAAGTTTAACCTGTAACTAACTAATTTTTCCTTCTTTTTGAGACAGGGTCTCCCTATCATGTAGCTCTGGCTGTCGTTAAGCTTTGTATGTAACCCAGGCTAGTCTTGAACTCAGAGATCCACCTGATTCTGCCTCCCAAGTGCTGGGATTAAAGGCGTGCGCCACCACATCTGGCTATAGTTACCTAATTCTCTGAAAGGCGACTGGTCCAGTGGTAGGGTTTGACCTTGCTCTTTGAATATTATCGGAGTTGAAGCCAACTGATGGTAAGAGGTCTTCCTCTGTGGTGTTTTAAACAGCTGTGGTTCATAATTGTGGGGCTTATATTCATATTCTTCTGGAGGTTCAAAATTATATGGTGGGGCCTCTGAAGAGAGTTCTTCAAACCAATTGAGGCTTATTGGTCCTAAATCTGCAAGAAAAGCAAAAATCGCACCTTAGTCTTCTTCAATGACACAGAGACACTCATGAGCAATGAAGACCAAGGTAAAGAAGAGGGCTGGTGGAGCTGACTCCACTCATGCTGTGCCTGACCACCTGAGACAGGGTCGGACCCACACACTCGGAAGCTGTTTCTCGCCCTGTGTGCACAAACGCACACATGCACACACACACGCAAAATCGATAAAAAAAAAACTGCCAAAGAGGTGCAAAGATCACAGTAAAGAATAAAGGAGAGGACATGGTTGTACTCACAGGTTATTCTAGCTCCCAGCAGGTCTGAGGCAGGAGGACTACAAGTTTGAAAACAGCCCAGGCTACATGCTGAGCTCAGCAGGTAAAGGTGCTTGCCGCCAAGCCTGGAGGCCTCAGCAGGTAAAGGCGCTTGCCGCCAAGCCTGGAGGCCTCAGCTCACGACCAGAACCCACACGGTGGGAGCAGAGAACTGGCTCTTGCACGTTGTCCTCTGATGGCGCCATCAGTCTGTCTCCACCACAAAGTAAGTTTAGAGACATAAGAAACAAAACAAGGGGCTGATGAGGTGGCTCAGAGGTTAAGAGCACTGGCTGTTCTTGCAGAGGTTTTGAGTTCAAGTCCCAGCAACCACATGTTGGCTCAAAACCATCTATAATGAGATCTGGTGTCCTCTTCTGGCCTGCAGGCATACATGCAGGCAGAACACTGTACATAATAAATAAATAAATCTTAAAAAAAAAAAAAAAACCGCCGGGCGGTGGTTGGCGCACGCCTTTAATCCCAGCACTCGGGAGGCAGAGCCAGGCGGATCTCTGTGAGTTCGAGGCCAGCCTGGACTACCAAGTGAGTTCCAGGAAAGGCGCAAAGCTACACAGAGAAACCCTGTCTCGAAAAACCAAAAAAAAAAAAAAAAAAAAAAAAAAAAAAGAAGAGGAAACTGGGTATGGTAGTCCATGCCTTTAATCCCAGCACTCGGGAGGCAGAGACAGCCAAATCTCTGAGTTTAAGGCCAGCTTGGTCTACAGAGCAAGTTCTAGAACAGCCAGGGCTACACAGAGAAACCCTGTCTCAAAGAGCAAAGGAAAAAAAAGAAAAAAAGAAAGACTCCATAATCTATATCAGACCAAATACAGAAAACAAAAAAGAAAAAGAAAAACAAGAATTGTGACTGTGGATTACTTGAAGGCTCATTAAGCAAGATCATTAATCTACTCTTTTGAAAGTACAGTAACACATTAATTTCAAAAAAGTTACAAGGAGATAGAATTTAGTTATATTACCTTTTTTTTACTTTCTTAATAATAATAATTCAGGAAAAAAAGAACAAAACTATTCACAGTAAGCATGTACTCCATAGGTTAAAAAACAATGATTTTGAAGACTCTGTCAGCATGACAGACCTCTTTATGAGCATGGGCTAAAGAGACACTTTCAAGTATGAAGAAGACTCTTACACGGCCCGCCCACCCTCCACAGCAGTGTCTCATGTTTCAGGAGGACTCAATAGGTTCAATGCATGTTCACAATTAGAAGACGATGTCCCCGCCTTTCTCAGTGTCAACACCTGTATCAGCAGAACAAGGATAAGGTGTGTAAACAACCGGTGGTGCATCTCCATGACCGAAGGCAGTGGATCCAACCAGTGAGCTTTCCTACCAACCCACCACCTCAAAAAAAAAGCTAGTGAGCTTTCCTACCAACCCAAGGGGGAAATGCCAGGGACTCACTGATAAAGTAAAAATGAACTGCATGAAGCTTATGTTTAAATCTTGTTCCTCAGTGTATATGACGTGTGTGTGTGTGTGTGTGTGTGTGTGTGTGTGTGTGTGTGTGTGTACAACTGTGCAGAGCTGCTTCTGTCCTACCTTCATGTACTACATTAGGCCGATGTAGCACACGCCTTTACCCACTGACGGGACCAAGCTTAATTCTTTAGCACACCCTTCCAATATTTCCTGAGAAACAACAGGCATACAGCATTTCTGGAGATGGAAGTGTAACAGAAAAGCACTTGTGATGAGCTGTGAGCAGAACTCGTACACTTTTCACAAAGGCCATCTTTTCCTTGGAAGGACAGCCAGACCAACCAGGTGTTCCGATCTGAAGAGTTTGGTAGTCATTTTCTCCAGAATGCAGTGAGCTCATCATAGGAAAGAAAAGTTAGCTGCTAATGATGGAAATGTGAGTTTTCAAAATGAAATCAACCATTTCTAGGGACTCACAGTGGCTGATTTCTTCCCAACTTCAAAAGATTCATTGGATCAGATCAGTTGCAATATTAATGGATGTGACTTTCTTTTTCAAGCACTCTGTCAGTACTCAACTTACACTATCTAATTCAGAGCCAGGTGTGGCTACTCATGCTGCAATCCCAATATGCAGGATGATCACTGCAAGTTTGAAACCAGCCTCATCTACACAGCAAGTTTTAAATCAGCCACGGTTACCTAGCAAGATGATGTCCTTCAAACATCAATGGGGACAAATGGGACTGGAGAAACGGCTCAGTGGTTGTTTACTGCTCTTGCAGAGGACCCAAATTCAGTACATAGTACCCACATCAAGCCTCTCACAACCACCTGTAACTCCATCCCCAGGGCATCTGATGCCCTCTTCTGGCCTCTGCAGGCACCTGTACACAGAGGCATACACACACACACACACACACACACACACACACACACACACACACAGAGATGTGGTTTAAAATAATAAAAAATAAATCTTAAAAGAAGGTCTGACGACTGTTCATCAGTAGCATCATCAATGCTTCTGACTTGCTGGTAGCACTTTGAAAACAATTTTTTTTTTTTGAAAACACTGTAAGTCACAGTGTTAATCTCCCATCTGTGTAGGTATTCTACACCACCTGGCTGGCCAGGAAAAGGACTACATGAACTAGATCTATGACTCCACAAACTGTTTACAGCACAAAGAAAACTGTCAAGTCCTGAGTTGTTTCATTGTTCAACGCAGAGAGAGTCTGGCCTTGAGCTCTCCGTGCCTTCAACCTCAGAGCTTCCTGCCTGCCTCGACCCCCCACGTGGGGAGACTACAGGCATCTGCTAATACCGGGTTTAAGTGATGCTGAACAACAAAGCCAGGGACGCAGATGCTAGGCAAGTATTCTCCTACCCGAGCCACATCCCAGCGTCACTCTCGTCCCCCACTTTTAAAAAACATTAGGTCTAGACTCTGTAGCTCAGGCCATCCTAGAATTCCCAATGTAGCCCAAGCTGGTTCTGAATTCATATTTAATGCCCCTGGCTCAGTCTTCTACATCAAGTTCCCTGGGATTATAAACGTGAGCCATCACACCTGGCTGAAGTATTTGTTTGTTTTTCTGAGACAGGGTCTTTCTATGTAGTCCTGGCTGTCCTTTATCTTCTATGTAGACCAGGCTGGCCTCAAACTCACAGAGCTCCACCTGCCTCTGCCTCCCAAGTGCTGTTTTTGTTTCAATTTTTTTTTAAAGCAAGCACCCACCTTTGACTTCATTAAAAACATTTTCTCGATGTTACTTAATTTACCAAGTTTTATAAAAACTCGCCAATACCTGCTGTGCTGCATCGCGCCTGAAAAATTTCAAAAAAAGTTGGTCTCCTTCTGTATTCAATGGGCATTCTCTCTACGGTATGTTCTCCGATGCTTGGTAAAGAAGTCTGCAAAAAGAGAAAGTAAAATACACTTCACGGGCTTGCTTTCTCGGTGACAGGCTGAGTTTGTCCAACCACACTACCTTAGGCCCATCTTCTGGGACAAGAACAGAACTCACCATGAGGACGGGGACAGTTTAGATTTGTGCTTTAAACCAAGTGGCTACTAGACATCCTAGGCACCAGAGAGTCCTTAATAGTAATTAACCACGTTCGCTTGGTAACGGAGCTGAGCTGACACGGGCACGTTAGGTAATCCAGGAACCGCAGAACAGAGCGCTGCGGCGGCCTCCAGGGACGCGCCCGATCCCTGTGGGAGGGACGCCCGCGGGCTGCAAGGAGCTGGGCGGAACCGGACCGGGGCGGGCGGAACCGGGCCGGGGCGGGGCGGGCGGCGGCGGCCCGGGGCGAGGTCAGCGCCTCCTCCGGGATGTCAGGTGTGTCCCCCACGGCCCCTGCGACCCCGCAGCGAGCGCCCGCGTGTACCTGGCCCCGCCGACCCCGCCGCTCCGCTGCAGTCGCTGACAGACGCTGAGCCGGCTCGCTTCACCGGCTCGCGCGAAAAGCCCGCCGCTCTCTGCCCCGTGACGTCATGAGTCGGCGACGCGCGGACGCGGCGCGAGCGCCGCCCGGAAGTCGGAGGCCCCGGTCCGTCGGTCGGTCCTCGCGGTCGCCACGCGGGTCCGAGCGCTCGCCCGTCCGGAGCCACCCGGGGTCCCCGGCACCTTCTCTACCCGTCGAGCTCATGTTGGTCTCGGCGTCCGGGGGACAGCACGTGGGTGGGTCGCCTGTGGCTTCTTCTTTCCTTCCCGATGTGGGTTGCGAAGGGACTCTGGCCATCTCTGGCATGGCGCACATGTGGCTCCGGCAGGCCCTGCCCTGCGCCCCCATTCCCTCTGCCTTGCTGAAAACCGTTAGATCGCATCCCTAAAGCTAGCCACCAAGGTCTGTTCCCTTATTCGGCCGCTTCCTCCTCCTGAGGCTGACGACCAAAGTCCAGATATCAGAAGCCCCCTTCGGCTGCCCTAATTAACGTGCTCAATCAAAATCAAACATCTCATCCTAACACGGGGTTTCCCCTTTTACCCTTATAAACTGCCGTTTGCCTCTGGGTCACGTCTGTCTCCGGGACAAATATCCCTCCCCCTTCTTCCTCGTCCTCTGTCTCCTGTCTTTGTCTCTTATTCCCTACCTTTTGTCCCTCTGGGGTAAATAAATCTCCTTTGTGCTGAGTACTTGGTTATGGGGTGTGCTAAGCCGATACCCGTCTCTTACATATTGAAATTTTGTTTATAGTTCACTTTATCTTCCTGGTCTGCTTAGAGATGCATATCCTTGGCATTCTGTTTACAATTTAATATCATTTCGGGACTTCAAAGATGGACTTTGGAGGGGTTCACTGGATCTCTTTGCCCCTTTTCCCAGTCACGCCTCTCTCTGCTTTCCACTTTTAATTTGGCTGATAGAGGGCAGGTGGCAGGACCTGGCTTGGGACACAAGTTGTGACCCCCGCCCCCAGGATGGATAACAGTTCTGCAATATTAGTACTCCTTTCTGTGGGCGTAGGGGTATCTTTTACAATTTTAGGATACAATCACTATGTTTTGTGAGACTTTGGGAAACCAAGCTAGAAAGCTGAAACATAACCTCACCTCCGAGTTTACAGGGTAACTAGCTGTGAGCCTCATGGCTTACTTTGGGTTTAATGTGTGAACCTTAGAAAGCCTTCAGTGGGATTCGGCAAGTGAGATCTTAGGGCCTTGCTGCTTCCAGAACACACGTAAGCAGTAAAAGGCCTTCTTGGATTAGAAAAAGAATGACATGGGTTGGGGAATATGCCTCAATAGTAGAGATTTGCAAGGCCCTGGGTTAGATACTCAGCACTGCCGTAAAGACTCCTGGAAAAGTCAGCTTGGTTCATTGGTATCATTTTTGTCTGGTAATCAGTAATCCTCAGTTGTAGCAGGAAGCCTCACTAATGTAAAAACAAACAAAAAACCTAAAACTTTTCATATAGGTCTAGTTAGCAAAAAAGAGGCATGAGTGGTATTATCTAATATTAAACTACTACTTACTAAATGTTTCTTACAATACTATAAAGTGTTTAGTATTGTCCAATGGGTAAAAACTCAGTTAACTAGCCCGGTAATAGTCCCAAGTTGGAATTTGAATCCATTTGACTTCATATACTTACCTTGTGAAATCTGCATTGACCCTATAAATAAGTATTAGGGCTGGAGAGACTGCTGAGCAGTTAAGGGCACTGGCTGCTTCTCCAGAGGTCCTGAGTTCAGTTCCCAGCAACCACATGGTGGCTCATAACCATCTATAATGGGAACTGATGCCCTCTTCTGGAGTGGAGGTGTACATGCAGACAAAGCTCTCATACATAAAATACATAAACATATTAATAAATTCCTACTTAGAGCCAGGTGGTGGTGGTGCATACCTGAGGCAGAGGTAGGTGAATCTCTGAGTTCAAGGCCAGCCTGGTCTATAGAGAGAATTCCAGGATGGCCAGGGCTACATAGAGAAACCCTGTCTCAAAACAAAACAAAATACTCTTTAGAAAAAAAAGTGCTTTCTTCCCTGGGGAAGCTGGAGGAGAGAGATGTCTCACTAAGATGGAGTACTTGGAATAATGAGAACCAGTAATACATTTCACCTTCTGAAAGATGTTTCATTATCACACACTCCTGACCCTCACCAGCTTATAACTATGTTCCTTGTTCTTGGTACAAGGAACCTCTAGTCTAATATACTCTATATCTTGAGTTCAGTTGCTCAGCTTGTTTACTACCAAACATTATAGGGTTCAATTCACTAATTGTTTCTAAGTTATCATTTTCATAAAAATGTATAATGTGCACCACATCTCCATGCTCATATACATTGTGAATAATGAATACAAGTCACATAGCATAGTCTCCTTCACATGGTTACCTTCTATGTATAGGTGTATGATAGAGAGTACTAAATCTATTCTCTTAGCAAATCTCTGATGTAGTACAGTAATGTGTGAATGGGAATCCCTAGGAAAAGGCTGTGTCTACAAAGGCTGTTGATTAAAACTCATTGATTGTGGAGAGTTTGGAATGTTGCAGGTCCAGAGCCTAATTAAAATTTATCTCATGCTGTCTTTAGTTCACAAGAGATGTATTCTTTGCCCACTTCTGTGGTGTGGGACCTAATGTCCTAATGAACAAATGAAAAAAAAAAAAACCATTGAAATGTATTAACAAAACTGTACCAACCAAAGGTCCAAGAATGGTATCAGATAGCACCTGAGGCTTGTAGCTGAGATCTCTCCCTGTCTGTAACCCATCTCTCTGTTAACAATGTTTTTGTTGTTGTTATTGTTTGTTTTTTGGTTGTGAGCCTAGCCTTTAATGGCTGAGCCATCTCTCCATCCCCATCAATGTGTTTTTAAAAATGCCTTAATTTGGGCTGGAGAGATGGCTCAGAGGTTAAGAGGACCAACTGCTCTTCCAGAGGTCCTGAGTTCAATTCCCAGCACCCACATGGAGGCTCACAACCATCTGTAATGAGTGGCACCCTCTTCTGTATAGATAATAAATAAATAATTCTAAAAAAAGACTTAATTTATGACTTTTTTTTGGTTTATGACTTTCTTTGTGCTATAACTATAGATACTTCATGAAACTGCCTCCATATTGGAACATAGAATTTGGGGTAACCTAAATCTGTGTTTCTGGGCCATGATGACTCAAATTTGCCTCCCGAATAAACTGACTCTTGTTTGTTTTGAGGTGAGAGCTGTGTTTTTACATCTACAGTTAGTAACTGTAGTCCTCATACTGTGCTTGAGAGTTCTAGACTCGCTCAACTACAGTCCTCATACTGTACTTGAGAGTTCTAGACTCGCTCATCTATAGTCCTCATGCTGTGCTTGAGAGTTCTAGACTCGCTCATCTACAGTCCTCATACTGTGCTTGAGAGTTCTAGACTCGCTCATCTATAGTCCTCATACTGTGCTTGAGAGTTCTAGACTCATTCATCCCACTTAATTGCGCCTTCATGCCTTTTGACCAATACCCACCCCCCACTGGTGATTGTGTATTTGAGTTCCTTAGATTTTATATATGAGATCACGTAATAAATTTTTTCTGTCTAGCTTATTACACTTAACATAATGCCCTTCAGGTTCATCCAGAACAAAAACAAGCAAGCAAGCAAAACCGTCTGGATGTGCAGCCAGGCTGGTCTCAAACTTATGAGTCTCCTGCCTCAGCCTTCCAAGTTCTGAGATTACAGGACCTGTAGCACCATAGCTGCTTCCTCTTTTTTTGTTTAATGACTAAATGAAATTCCTAGATATGACCATTTCTTTACTTATCTGTCACCTGAATCCTAGTTTGACTCTTGGATGAACATGGAGCACAGAATCTCTTAACTTCTGGATTTCACTTTCTTTTGAGCATGCATACAAATAGTGGGATTGGTAGGTCATCTGTAGTTGTAACTTCTTTTAAAGATTTGCTTATATATTTTTTAAATTGTGTGTATATATCTGTGTGTATGTATGTGAATGCCAGTTACAGTCCAAAGAGGGTGTCAGATCTGCTGGAGCTAGTTACAGGTGTTTGTGAGCCACCCAATGTGGGTGCTGGGAATTGAAGTTGGCAAGAGCACTATGCATTCTTAGTCACGGAGCTGACTCACCTGCCCTCCTATTTTTAATTCCTGAGGAAGTCCTGTGTTGTTTTCCATAATACTTATACTAATTTACATTCCCACCTACCAATACCAGATCAACAAAATAGTCACCAAGAGAATCCATGAATGAAATAACTAATTAAAGCTCCTGCTGGAGAAGACAGAAATGAAAAACAGCCTTGAGGAAAAAAAAAAGTGGAGAACTGCAAATTGAAAAGGTAGGAAAACAATTAGTAGTCACATGGCTAGCTCCCTCTTTCAATTAAGGAGCTAAGGGGGCAGCTCTCTGGAATAAATGAAGAAACCTGGGTGAACCCGAACCAGATCTACAAGGAGGAAGAGACAGGTAGGGGGTGGGGAGCAAAACAGGAACACAAACTCCAGGAGGAAACTACCCCAATGGAGGGCTTTGTCAAAGTTCCTTACAGTTTCCACCAAGGCTATGGGAGCACACTGCCTTTGAGCCACCCTGGCCTCTGGAGACACTGTAAACAGCAAGACTGGAGGCAAAACATGGGTCCTCCTGTTTTCCTAGCCAGGCCAGGGCCTACCATACCAGCAAGTGCCTCTGAGTCCTGCATGTACCCTTACAAGAGGGCTCAGCTTCAGGCCATTCTCACCCAGATGAACCCCAACCTGAGTCTACGGCTATGCAAGGCCAACACTAAGGACGTGGCTGTACAGGTGAGCCTTCGGGTGGACAAGTCGGTGCAGTGCTCACTGGGGCCTCAGACCCTCTACAGCAGCTCCCTCTGGGACAGAACCAGCCTCAGGAAGCCCACAGAAGCTTACTGGAGGAGAGCCTTGATCCAGCTGCCCAAGGATGAGGAACACAGAGAAAGCCAAGAGCTTGCGGGATGTGCAGAGGCCAGACCACATACACCGAAGCCAGATGGTGACAAGCAGGAGAACCTCCCACAGCTGAAGGAAGTCGGGGAGGAAGATGCCCCCAGCCCTAGGAAAAGCAAGCTGGTATGTGGAAAGTCACAGGCCACCTGGGAAGCCCAGCTTCCAGCAGGGCGAGGCTTCTCTCCACTTAAGCCCTCAGCAGCACCATCCTCCCCACTTCATTCCCAGAGCAGTGTTAACTGGCTCATTTCTACCTTATCTCTGGCGAGGAAGGTGGAGTTCTGGAAGCATGTACTTTGTCTACATGGTCTGGATGTTTTTCAAGTTGTGGTAAGATAGGGTGTGGATCCTCACTTAGAAGTCTTGTCACTTCTGCCCGGGATGATGAGGGGACAGTGAGCTTCAAGTGTGCAAAAGGTGAACCTGGATTTTTATGTTGGGAGATGGTGGGAAATGGACTGAAAACATTATCCTTGAGCAAGCCCGGAAGCTAAATGAACAGAGCTGCATAAAGGGTAGCTGAAAGCAAGGCCCAGGAAGTCAGTTGTTTCATTTAGGCTATCAGTTAGGAAATGAGGATCTAGACCCCATCCCACCCCACCCCCATAGTAATAGACTCCCGTTTCTCTTTATTTTCAGTTTTTGGAACCAAAGTACGGCTATTTTCACTGTAAAGACTGTAAGACCAGATGGGAGAGTGCTTATGTGTGGTGCATCTCTGGGACCAATAAAGTAAGCAAACGTGGGGGAGGGGCACTGAGGCCTGAAAGGCGCCTGTGTTAGCGGGAGAGCTGGGTTTCCGCTCCTTCACCTTGGCATCCTTGCTGACTGGCAGCAATGATGAGTTTTATACTGACATTCCTACTTAGTGTGAATGTCAATGAATAAGTAAATAAATGGACTACCAGGAGTGGTAACATAGAAGCCCGTAACTGCAGCACTTGGGAGGGGAAGGATCAGGTTCGAGACCAGCTTAGGCTACATTAAAAAGACCCTCACACACATCTCAAAAACAAACAAGCTGGACATGGTGGCGCACACCTTCAATCCCAGCACTCGGGAGGCAGAGGCAGGCAGATCTGTGAGTTCGAGGCCAGCCTGGTCTACAGAGAGAGAGTTCCAGGAGAGCCAGAGCTACACAGTGAGACCCCATCTCGAAACAAAACAAGACAAAATCCTCTCCAGTGTGTAGTAAATAGTCTAAAAATCCCGTTTCCAGTTGGACCTAGTGATTCTCTAGGTGACAGTTTGTGCCTTAAATACTGTTATAAACTTAATTTCCTACTTACATATTTCTTGTCATGGGTAAATTTGGGTGTCCTCATCTACTCTAGAAAGCTCCCCTATTTTTTCCCCCTGTCAACTTAGGCTGTTCTTAACATTGTTTATTGATGGAGTTCTTTGCATTTTTCACTTCCTGTATAAGTATAAATTATAAATTAAAAGTATAAATTACTTTGAACTAACAGTGTCTTTTGGTCACATTTATTTATTTATTTATTTATTTATTTATTTATTTATTTATTTATTTATTTATTTATTGAGACCAAGTCTCACTATGTAGCCCTGGCTGGCCTGGAACCCACAGAGCTTTCCTGGTTTCTCCCTCCCAATGCTGGCATTAAGGGTGTGTGCCACTGTGCCAAGACGGTGGAAGGTTATTTTTAAGGGTTTCATCATCTCTGCAGATGTCAAATCTGGCATTTTCTGTCAAGACGTTAAACTTCTTGCTAAAAACTGCTGATAATGTCTTTTAAACTCATTATCAGGCTATTTTTGTATTGGTGTCTATTGACTACTTTCAATATAGTCATTTTTTTTTTTTTACTAGTCCTTGGAAACCTAGCCATTTTCCTTTCTTTTGTTTTCCTTGAGTTAGGGTCTCATGAAGCCCGGGTCGGTCTCAAACTTGCTATATAACTAGTGAGGATGATCTTGAACTTTTTGTTTGTTTTTGACAGAGTGTCTCTATGTAGCCCTGGCTGGCCTGGAATTTCCTATGTAGACCAGGCTGGCCTCGAACTCTCAGACCCTGCCCCTACCTTCTGAGTGCTGGGACACTGTGCCCTGCTTCTTTTCTTGAAGTGTAATTTTTGTTCTTGCCCACTGGCTAGACTCCACAAAGCCTGTCCTGTGGAAAAGTTTGTCCTCCACACCTGTGCCTGTGGCAGCAAGAGAGACAGCTCTTTACAGTGTGGGGCTTGGTCTATGCTCTGAGCAGCCACCCCTCAGCCCCTGGACAGGAGGAGAGCCAGCCTGAGGGCGGCAGGGGGAGAGCCAGCCTGAGGGCAGCAGGGGGAGAGCCAGCCTGAGGGCGGCAGGGGGAGACCCAGCCTGAGGGCGGCAGGAGCTTTCACTGTTTTATTTAAATTGCTTGTTACCTTTTGAGGCAGGGCCTCAGGTAGCACAGGCTGGTCTTGAACTTCTGATTCTCCTGTTTCATCCTCTCGCTGCAGGGATTATGGGTGTGTGTCTTCACACCTGGTTAGAATTTAAAACCAAGTTAACTTCCCATCCCTTTCTTGCCAGAAGGAAAACTCTGGGCTGGATTCAGATCCTCCCGAAGTATTGGGGTACAAAGAGCAGGTTAGAGAACTCACTTCAAGAAGTACATTCTGGAGCTGGGTGTGGTGGCACAGGCCTGCAACCCCAGCGCTTGGGAAGTAGAGGCAGGCAGATCTCAATTTAAAGGCCAGTCTGGGCTACATTAGATTTTATCTCACAAAACACGGGCAGCCCCTCCTGCTGTACCGGGGTTCTGTGATAAAACTCCTTTCTCAAACTTGAAACAACAAATGAGTGTATTCCGATTGGAGTGCAGTGTGGTGGTAGGTTCAATGGTGCCCATGGCTTGGAAGCAGTGCAGAAATGACCCAGAAGTGGGGCATTAACCTATCTAACAGACCATACCCTGGTGCCCAAATAAGACTAAAGCAGTGGTTCTCAACCTGTGGGTCGAGACCCTTTGGATGTCAAATGACTCCTTCATGGGTCACCTAAGGCCTTCAGAAA